ACCTTGACTGGTAAAACCATCACCTTGGAAGTTGAATCTTCCGACACTATTGACAATGTCAAATCCAAGATTCAAGACAAAGAAGGTATTCCACCAGATCAACAAAGATTGATTTTCGCTGGTAAGCAATTAGAAGACGGTAGAACCTTGTCTGACTACAACATTCAAAAAGAATCCACCTTGCACTTGGTCTTAAGATTGAGAGGTGGTTATTAAATGAATAGAGTTTTATATTCTAATTTCTCTAATTTGTATAGCTAATATATTTACAGTTATATCTCTATAATAATTATATTGTAAGATTTATTCTAAGACTTTGTCAATTTCGTTTTGAACAACCGCTGATGATTCAACATTCTTGAAAATTTTCATTTGAGTGATCACTTTATTTGCATCCTGAATTGCATTGACTTCTTCATACAAAGTCACTAATCGCTTAGCATTTCTGACAGTTTCTATTCTAACCCTTTCAATATTATTCAAATTAAGACAGTTCTTATAAATTTCTTGCCATGTATTCATCAATAAATCAAGTTCTTTATCAGTATAATGTTTCTTTCCATTAGTCTCAATTAAAATCTTGAGGCATTCATTTACTTCAATCTTTGATCTCCATGTATTTTCAATTATATCAGTTTGAAACAATTTGATAATGGAATTTAATGCTAATGCTTGTAAGTCTCCATTGAAGTTTGTTGAGGAAATTGTAGTGAAGAGATTTTTAATGAATGATAATCTTTCTTCTTCAACCTTAAGGTTATACTTATTCAGTTTTTGCTTCTTATTTCTTGAATCTCTAATATCTTCCATTGCATCATCAAAATCATCATCTTCCTCGTCATAATATTCATCCGTCAATATTGTTTCATCCATTAACCCAATATATGTCTCCATCAAATCTTCGTCATAAAATTTATTAAGATAGTTACCCATCAACTTAATAGAGTGTTTTTGATAAGATCTATTACGTCTCTTCGCTTCGGTCAAGATAATTTTATTCACTTGTTCATGGACATCCGAATCTTCGACTAAAAACTGGGAAGATTTTATCGAAAAGGATACCAAAGCTTCTAAAACAAGTTCTTTCCCAATCCATGATTTACCCTTACAGGCTTCAATTAGAATTTTAAATAAAGGAGTTGCAATTTTAGCAGACTTCACTTCGTCTACTGCATTGGACATATCAGCAATTGATTTCGCAAGTATTTGTCTTATGTGGTATTTATTAGATACCAAATAAGTTTCAGCATATTGACAAATTTCAGTCAAGTAAAGTTTGACTCCATTATTACCACTGGTATTCTCTATCCACTCTCTTTCAAAGATTTTGGAAACTTCTTTCACTGTATCATGTTGACCGATATATGCTAATGGTAGGAAAGCCGAAGCAACCATATCAAATTTATCCGCAGAACAATATTTGCTGACACCTTCGCTTGCAATGGCTGCCAATTTTCTACTTCTTTCATCTTCGGAATCAAAATATAAATTACTGATTTTTGAACTATAATTTGCAATCGCATCAATACTAGCAATTCGACTAATATAACCGGCTGCAGTAGCATATGATGACGCAATTGCATCATTTCTATCAGTGATTTGATTTGTTGCAACTTTAAATAAAGAATCACCATACGCTTTAGAAATCCCGTAGTGTTTGGTAGTTAAAGTTACGAGTATTCGACTACCGCAAACTTTTGAGGGTAAACCGACAGATTTTCTAATTGAAGACTGCAAAATATGCACGATTTCATCCATCATTGATTCATCAATGATATCTAATAACTTTTCAATTGCATCCATTATTGGAGAATTGCCCAAGCTTTGTAGTCTTTTTGAGTCAATGTCGTTGTTGTCCAAGTTATACTTTTCAGCATTTAACACCAAGTAGTTCACAACTTCAGGCTCCAATGTTGACATTAACCCAATAAAATTATCTAATAGTTTTGAAACAAAAGGTTTAATTGCTGCTCCTCCTATTTTACAAAGTTTTAAAATAGTCTTTAAGGCAAAGTTCCTGATTTCTTCTGCATCGCTTAATAATCCTTTGTTTCCTAGTAAGAAAGGAATCAAGTTGGATAACACTTCAGTAGCTTGACTAACACTGACACCACCACTCTCGACATCAGCTGTTCTGGTCAAAATTGTTGAAAGGGATCTAGTCAATTTTGTTGCTTCTTTACGAACACTCTCCTTGATATCATCCATAACTCTAAAACTCATATTCCAAATATCCTCCAATTTACCTTCGTATTTTTCCAAGGAAACAACTTGTATCAAGTCATTCAAAGCTGTCGAACTTGCTTGTCTGACTCTCCATTCTTTGTTGCCCATACTTTTGAGTAGTTCTCTTAAGATAGAATCAAAGTTTTCATTTATGGTTTTGGAACTATCCTTTATAAGAGAGTTCCAAATATCCTCCATTGATTTCGACACGGACGTACTGGGATCAAATTTATACCTATAGAGCTTTGGGATTAAACGGTCACTAAGATTTTGGTTATTTGAAAGCATCTCATCAAGGCTTGATTTGGATAAAATAGAGCCCAATCCGAATGCCATACCTTTTCTAGATGACCAAAGGGCCGAGGACTTTGCTAGAGACATAAATTTATAAACCAAACTAGGATCACCTACATCGGAGGCTAAATTCAATACATCCTTATAAGTAGACACTGATCCATCATTTGTTTTCAAAACATCTTTATCAAAAAGCTCGGTATCTTCCTCAACAGATCCAGCTGCTAAAGCAGATGAAGCATTATTATCAGTAAAAGATTTTAGCAAACCTTTGACTAAGGTTTCTTTCAAGTCAATATCTCCCATTTCATAAACTAAACTTAATCCACGAGAGGCAGATTCCTGAATTAACTCGTCTCTATCGGCTAAAAATTTCATGAAAGCAATATGTATTTCTCTTGCTTTATTCTGAATTACTTGCAAATGTCCCAAGTACTGCACAAATGATAATAACCAGATACAGCCGGCTCTTCGTAACAGGGGCTTCGTATTGTTACAAGCAGCTAAAATAGACTCCAACACTGGGGCTACTCTGCACAGATCATGATTCAAATACGAAGAGTCCTCACCTTGAATATCGATTAGCCTCTGTAAGGCCTTAGACTCCCAGCCACCAGCACATATAGAGAGAGCTTCTCCACTTGTGAAGATGTACTCAATTTGTTTTGAAGTGTGAGTATCATATATCTGTTGTTCGAAACCAGTTAACTTTGCGGGCTCTTCCAATGAATTCGTCACTTTAGCCAAACGTAACTCACTGAATACAACAACGCTTTGTTCTTCACATCTCTTGACTTTAGGCTTAACGAAATCAACTAATTTCTCGATATCAGAGTCAATGTCAGGATATAAGGCAATAGATGGACCCAAAACACCATAGATCGAAAGCTGTGAAATACACTCCAATAATGTGCTATGGAGAGAGTTGTTGTTAAAGTGTGAAACTAAAATGTTGATATAAGTATGCGCTTGATCTGCCGTTAATAAATTTGAACGATTTCTGTAAGCAAGACGAGACATCAAATAAGCTGTTGCTAACAACTTAGCCTTTAACAAATAACTTGGGGAGCTAGTGGCATCAAGCTTACTTAATAACATCTGCACCGACTCATGATTATTCAGAGGGTGACTACCGATGATTCCTATGGCATTACAAATTTGGCTCGTTGAAACATCATTCAAGAATTTACCATCCAAAAGCTCTAGCAACCTTGGTAAGATATGCGAAAGTTTCCCAACAGTCTCATGAGGTGATAATGCTATCATTTTCAAGAATATTTCACCAAAAGCTATATCGGAAGTGACTTTCGCAGCATCGGTATATTGAGAGACAAAACAATCAAAAATAATGGACAAATACAAATTGAAAGAATTCGTCTCATTCGAGTCTGTCATGTCTTCCGCAGATGCTTCAGCTATCTTTAAAACTAACAAATCTTGAACAGTCTTGTCAACTTCAACAGCTTTTTCTAGCCTTACTTGCCATTCTTCGTCCGCAACTATTACAGTTGATTTCTTCTTTACAGCTTGCATTACTAATGTCTGCATGATAAATCTTATTGCCTGACCAGAACTCTTGAAAATTGTAGCACCCTCTAGAGATTTACTTTCCTGGATTTCATTATCTATAGCATGAACAATTGAACTAAAAGAAGGAAAATCTATTTCTGCGTTCGAACCTAATAGTTCTGGAGTAGATTTGAATTCCAAGGTGTTTGTTGCTTGTAGTATTTTGAACCAATGTGGATGCAAACCCTTAACAGCTTCTTCGATAATATCAGCACGATTCACTTTTGACGTTCCCAAAATACACAAAAGTCTAGATTCTGCATCATTAAAAGGATACGTACAGTTCACATATTTGATAGCAACAAATCTGCAGGAATGAATATTTCCCAGATCATCATTTTTATCAATTCTCAAGTATCTTTTAAGTATTCCTTTCAATTTACTTTTCGAATCAGTGGAAAGGCTGGGCAAATGCACCGTGAGACCCGATAATGCTTCTTGAATTGTAGCACGAAGCTCGGGAAATTCACCTTCTAAAGACTCAAATAAAAACACAATGTAAGACAAATCATCAACAAAGAGATCAGGATTCAGCCTAAGAATATTCCCCAATGCTTCATATTGGAGAGTTCTTTGGTGAATAGCTGAATTATAATTTTTGATAACAGAAGTGTCCATTCGCGGCCAACCTTCGTTATTAATGTTCTCCTTGAGCTCTTTCGCCATTCGAACGTTGAAGTCGTTGACAAGCTTTAAGGCCGAATGATTTTTATCAGTTTTACTGATCTGTTTAATAAACTGAACCGTAGTTTGCTTTAATCTATGGTAATCTGATGAAAGACCCAAGCTGCAAATTTGGGAAATTTCAGAATGTTTGGTTACCTCATTACTATTAATAAGAAGTGACAATATTCTTTCTTGCAAAACTGGCTTAACTGGAGGTGTGAGCTTGTCTGAAGATCCAGTGAACAACGCAATAGCAGTAGAGACAAACTCAGGGTCTTCAACATTGACCTTGAGTTTCCGGAACAAGATTTCTGAAGAGTCATTGATTGCAGAAGAGTCATCAACAGAAGCGATCATTAATGGAATAGACAAGCTTGAATCATCAAATCCACTTTTCAAAAGTTCTAGGAAACGCTTTTTGACAACAAAAATCTCATCTTGCGACTTATAGGCAACACCAGCATCTCTGGTGAAGAATGAATTGTCATCTACACTCAAACCGGGTGATTGAATAGGGTTTGGAGTGGTGTTTGGTCTGAGGAGTAAAAATTTCAGTATTTTAGAAGTAAGAAACTTCTCATCATCTGGGTTTTTATCTAAACAAAGTTTAGTCTTCATATTTGCATACTCGGGGGAGTGCTTGTCTGGTGACTTCCAAGATGCTAAGAGCTTACTTAAGATGTAGAATAGCCTGGCAGCTGTACTTTTAGGATAACTTGCAATTCCTTCTACGACCTTTGGTACAAGTGCAGTCATTTCTTCATCGGTCAAACGATCGATCCCTCTAGAGATGAATAACAAAGAGTATAGTCTAACATTGGATGGATCAGCATCTTTTGGTGTCTTTGGTTCTCTTACCTGATCTAGTAAGGCATTAATAGGTAGTTTGATAGTTCTGGCAGCAGAAATTCGGGGGATCACATCTTGTATAATTTTGAAAACTGCTTTTCTGACATCGGCATATGGACTACTCAATTTCAATAGTAATGGTGTCAAATATGTGTTAAGTGCTTGCTCGAACTGCTTATCATTTTCAGCTAATGCAATACGAAGCTCAACCTTGTTGATCAAGGATAACTCCGCCTCCGACATTCTGTAGATCGATTAAGTCCCTTCAGTGATCTATGAAAAGAGAGGGCCTTGCTTCTATATATAATGCAATTGATGGCTAATACTTGAAATCAATTGTTGTAGAATAAATCAATTATCGATGGCAAATACTGCTAACATAAATTTTCTCTCGATGAAAAACAACGAAAAAATGTTAAGATAGTCCGAGAAATCTTTTACAGCTTTTAATCAGCTTACCAAATACAAATGCCTGATCTCATACCTACGTTGACAGTAAATTAAATTAAAAGTCTATATATTCATTATTTATGTATTCTTGTATTCTCTCAATATAACAGGAACGGAAGAAGGAGGTAAAGCTCCTAATTCAGTGACAACCTTTTTGATATATTGTGGAGGAGTTAAATCATACATGATATTCAATAAGCTGATATTCTCCTTGCTCTTCCAGTCTTTTAAAGGAGCATTTTCATCCTCTTTTTCTGGTTCTTCATCCTTTTTGTTATTCTGCTTTTTCTTGGGTTGGTTTTTTGTAGGTTCTTCTGATTTCTTTTCATCTTCACATTGCTTGATAAATTGTTCCAATGCAAAAGACTTCTTTTGTGGTGGCTTCTTGGAATGGATTTGTTCAACCAAATCTTCTGGGTCTGCCAATTCATTAGTAGTAACCGAATCTAATTGGACTTTATCTGAAAACTTGACTGATTCACAGCAAGTCAATACAGGAATATTTCTAGTATGACACATCATTGCAATCAAACCAGTCCCGACTCTTGAATAAAGATGACCATTAGATAACATAGCATGGGCCCCCAAGAATACACAATCAGTGTCTGCTAATATAGTACTTGACAATGAATTGAGGAGAACATAGTTCACTTTAAGGTAGTCTTGAGTGATTGGAGTAGCCTTGATATTCTTTGAAATAGAGCCAGTTGTCGAGCCAGAGTCAGATTCGGATTCAGATTCTAAATCTGATTTAGCCACATTTGGTTGAGTATGCACGGTGTTCACAAGACTGTTTAATAATTTCTTACCTTCAAACAATGGTCTTGAATCAACAATAATCAAATTGAAAGACTTACCTTGTTCAAGGACACAATATTTGAACAACTCTTCCAAGACGTCCGAATGACCGTATGTCAAAATAGTTGAACCTTCCAATATATGCTGAGAAGCATTCTCAATTATGACCCTATCAGACAAATCAATCTTTTCCTTGATAAAGTCGTCAATCTTCTCTACTAATATATCCTTTGCTTTCAGCTCTTTGGTATCAATGGATATATGAGAAATTTCTTGTTTTAACCATCTGATAGCATTACCCATTGATATCGATAATGGTCTAGCACTTTTCAAATATTCTATTTGGTGAGACAAATGGCCAGTTAAGTGTCTCGTCAAAGTGGTGTTCTCGGGAGTTTTGTAATCTCTAATGACTACCTTGAAAGCTTCGAGCATATTTCTTAATCTCGCGATAGATCCAACAACTTTATAGGTTGAGTATTTTAATGTAAGAGATAATATGGCCGGGTGAACTATATGGGAAATGGATGGTGATGCAGCATTTCTTTGTTCCCTAGTTTCCAAATGACTAAATAAAGATGGAATTTTCTTAACATTATCGTCTTTAATTAAGGTTTGATGGAGTTGTTTTTTAAGATTGGTATTGGTTGCAAGCTGTTGTTTCTTTTTTTCCATTTTTTGCTCTGCTAATTGGACTTGTTGCTCTGGAGTTATACCATTGGCAGCTTTTTGAGCAGCCCTTTTAGCAGCTTTCTCTTGTTTCTTTAATTCTTTCAATTCTTTGTTAGAGAGCTTACCAGATGGTGAGTCTGCAGGAGCAGAATCAACGTTAGCAGCTACTGCAACTGCTTTTTCTGGTGCTTTTATTGGAGCAACAGGTGCATCAGACATGATAGACCAACCTTTTTATTTAAGCTATGAATCAAAGACCTTTTCAGTGAATCTCTAACCTGATTACTATATTAAAAAAAAAAAAAAATATGTTTAAAAGCGAGATGAATCGAAAAAAAAAATGTCGTGCAAATGGACAAATGAATGTTACTGAAGAAAATTAACAGTTGCGGCTAATGAAGTACATGAAAAATGATTCAATATATAGAAAATGCTTATACTAAAAGTTATTAAAAAGATACATTATGAATGATGAACGGGCAAGATAAAAGTGAAAAGATAAAAAGAATAATCATAAAAGATAAATAAGAAATATTTAAAAGTGGTGATAAAAAAGAAAAATGCTAATTAAGGAAGGATTAATTTCCTTCTGATAACTCACCGAAGACACCTCTCTTTTTGGTGGTATCATACAATCTGACAATCTTCTCTTGATCTTGATTGTCGACTTGAGAAAAGGCAAACCCCCTTTGTTTTTTAATTCTTTGGACTTGTCTGACTTTTCTGATAGCTTTTTGAAATTGTTCCATTCTTGGTCTATAATCTTGAATGTTGTATTTTTGAATTTCTTGAACGTAATGGTAGCTTTCGGGATTGTAACTTCTCTTGAAAAATTTCCATGCTAAATCTCTGGTTAGACACAATACCGATACACCGAATACCATTGCCCAAAATGTAAGGCTAGGATAAGTCACATTCAAAACTCCAAGATATTCTTCAGAGACGTTAATCATTGGTGCAATAGTTGCATAGGCAGGAAACCAAAGTAGCCATAAAATGAAAGACCCAGGGATAGCAAGTAAAGTGAACTTGGTCCACATAGTTACCACTAATGAAGCCTTACCCAAAGCAGTCAAGCAACAGGTTGTATATACAGCAGTTCCCCATGCCCAATGGTTTGTGACAAGACCAGAAGCTAATTGGTCACTGTGTTGGTATATAAAATACGAACATAAGAAAATCACAGCCGAGTGGAAAAACCCATTAATAATCCAACTCCAGAATATAGGTACATTGAAAAATTTCTTTTGTTGACCCAATTGATACAATTGTGGATAACGATCTAATAATCTGGCACTGACAAATTGATCGAACACCCCCATAACGAATGGTGGGAAAACGGTAAACAAAACATTGTACAAGGTTAATGTCCACGATTCAATAATAGATTGACCTGAAAAGCAATTAGCAAAGACGAACCAGAACTGAGTCATATACAAGATAATGTTCTTGTAGAATGAATACAAAATAGCATTGGAAATACGTTGATAAGACCAGGAACCATGAACGAGAAGCAATTTTTTTAAATACTTGAATTGACCAATTGAGATATCTGCACTTCTTGCTGCTTGCATACCTTCCATACCACTAATACCAACACCGACATGCGCAGCTTGAATCATAGAGACATCATTAGCACCATCACCAATGGCCAACAACAATGATTGCTTCTTCTTACGTTTAACCATCTTAACAACCAATGCCTTTTGTAAAGGAGACACACGGCAACAAATGACAGCCTTACAGCGACTACCTAATGTAATGAACAAATCTTCTAACTCGGGTTCCAAAGCATAACCTAATGAGTGACCATCGATAATTAAAGCAAGTGAAGCATCCAAAGAACCATCCTCAACGTCGTACTGGTGTTCTTGAATAGCTGATAGCTTCTCTTGTAAGTTAAGTTTGGTATCCATTTTGGTTTCCTCGTTAATGATTAACAAATTCATATCTTCACTCAACAACTTACATGACATACCAATATTAATGGCAGTTTCTTGTCTATCACCAGTTAAAACCCAAACCTTAATACCAGCATCTTGTAAAGTATGAATAGTCTCTGGAACACCATCTTGTAACTTATCTTCAATAGCAGTAGCTCCCAATAAAAATAAATCAGTCTCTATCATTTCTGCCACCGCATCTAATTGTTCGCTTCTATCATTTAAGGCAGTGGATGCTTCATAGTACTTACTAGCCCAAGCTTGATATTCCTCTTCACCCACTATTCTAGATGCTATACACAAGGTTCTCAAACCTTCGGCAGCAAAATCTTCCAAATGACGTAAAGTTGAATCAACGAATGGCTGTGCTTCTTGTTGGCTTAATCTCTCTAAAATCACAGTATCTGCACCTTTACAAAAAAGTCTGATAACACCGTCGGGACATCTAAAGATAGCAGACATTCTCTTTCTAGTGGAATTAAATTCACATATATTCAATAATTCATATTCCGAGTCGCTGTTGGTCAAGCGATTATTGATTGTCACCCCTTTTGGCTTACGGATAGTGAATTTATAACCTAAATCTGCAGCACCTTGAACCAAAGCACCTTCATCAGGGGAAGCCGCCTGGTACTTAATACTCCCAGTCGTATCATTTACTTCAGGGATAACAGTATGGCATGTACTCAAAAGAGTCAAAAATTCATTGATTATAGCCGATTGTTGAGATGAAGTATCAGCCAAATGTTGGTATAAATCATCGTAGCTATAATAACCAACTTCAATATTATCGATTAATTGGGCATTACCATCCTCGGGAATTTCTTCAATATAACACTTACCCCCAATGGAACAACTTTTAAACTCCATAATGTTTCTAGTCAAAGTACCAGTTTTATCTGAAAAAATAAAATCAATTTGACCTAATTCCTCAACTAAAGAGGAAGTTCTAACACCGGTTGGAGTATCTGTTTCTTCATAGTACATATCTAAATCACTACCAATCATATAAGCTTGATAGTATTTAATAATTTCAACAGTAACGAATAAAGAAATAGGAACCAAATTGGAAAACAAAATCCAGTAAGTTAAAATATCTTGAAAGAAAAGTTTAGCTTTACTTGTACCACTCAACATCAAATAACCCAAGGATTTGGAATCAACCTGCAACTTAGCAACATTACCAATTGAACCCACAATTGCTAAAGTAATTAAAATTGAGAAAAGGGCAATAATTTGTAAATTGATAATTCTTTCAACATCAGTTCTTTTGATAGGAGTTGCAGTTGCATTACGCATTAATTTTGTTTCATGGCCAGTGAAAATTACGATACCATGGATCCACTGAGTATTTCTTAAAGTAGCACCTCTCAAAAGTAACTGTTCAGGAGATAAAGGAATTTGACCAACTGATCCAAATCCTTTCAAATTACCTTCATAAGTGTAAAGAGACGAATTCGGCTGTTCAGATAATATTTCGGTAGAACTTAAGTCAGATACTAAATCTCTTGGGTTGACTAAATAAGAAGTTTCAGGTTTTGATTGCTTAATTTTAAGATTAGTTTCACCATCAAGATTTGCAGTTTCGATATAACAAAGACCTTCAGGTTCCGAAGAACTGAGTAACAATAAATCGGCAGGAAAAGGTTCTTCGTTGGTCACTTTAACTATATCACCAACTTTAACATGAGTCCATTTTTTAGTTTGGAAATCACCAGAAGTAGGATTTAACACTAAAACTTTAGTATTATTCAAATCTTTATCTGCATTAGCTCTTTTAATATCTTCCATTATTTCTTTAATTGCCGAAACAAGTAAAACAACAATCAAAGTACCAATAGTGGTATATCTATTAGTTGGAGAAACATTAGGAACTTGTTGGATAACAGATGTGAAAAGGAAAAACAAATTAGCATATTTACTAAATTGTTCGAATAAAAACTTAGGTAGGAAAGTAGCAATGTTATATTTTGTTGTAGAGATATAGTTACCAAAATAACCAAATGAATCATTGGCGCTAGTATTAATCACATAGATTTGACGAGGACCTTTATTGGATTTAGATGATTTGCTGCTAGGTTTACCACCAAAGATACCCGTTTTCATACGATTATAAATATTACGAATGTCAAAATCGGTTGATTCACTCTTAGCATTATTATAAGCTTTATCATCATCAAATGGGTCACTCATTCCCATATAATTAGCACCACCATCCCCAACTGGAGAACGTAAGTTATTGAAAAATCCTGACTTTTGTTTCACTGTTGGATCGTTAGATGTACTTAGTAAAGGAACTTGACGATTACTACTACTGCCATCACGATGATGGGAAGAAGCTTGGGTATCGTATTCATCATCGGATATGATAAAATGTTCATCAAAAGGATTATTTTGTTGATGGAAATTATCGTTATTATGTGAATGGGTTGTATATTGATGCTGGGAGGATAAATTGTTATAAGGACTTGATTGGGTATCATGATGTGCTTGACTATTCCCATCATCTAAATCGATAAGAGGATTGTCGAAAGGATTACCCAGTGACGCCGAGCCACCCTGACGGTTATTATAGTATGACATCTCCTGATGACTCTCCTTATGATTAATTGACTTACTGAAAGCAGAAAAAGTCAATTAACAGAAGCACAGACGAGGAACTGAAAAAAAAAAAAATTCAATAAAGAATTATCTAAAGAGATCTTGAAGAACGAAGGAACAAAAAACTCAACAACGGAATAGTACTTTAGAAACAAAAAGACAAAGGCTGTGGAACTTTGGCCAGTTATAATAATAACCTCAAAGAAGTATTTCTGTAGTGATAAAAGCTCTAAAATATCGATTAAACTCGAGATATGAGGATTAAAAACAGAAAAAAAAAATTAAAAGGTAAACAAAAAACCAAATGTCAGTTTCTGCAAATAGTCTGAAAGAACTAGTCAATTCTCAGGAGAGACTATTGCAAGTGTCTGGGATGTTCAACGGATTTTTCCACGGTATAAAAGTGAATAATTGAGTTTCAGTCAATTTGCAAAAGATCAACCTTTGATGATTCGTGTTTGAAAAAAGGAAAACGAGTCTTACACAGCATTCTGATCCAATTTTGTATCGATACATAGTTAAAAATAAAATCCGTACCGCGCCTCTTTTTAATCCGGTCATCTAGGGACGTGCGCCGGTGACCAAATTCTGCGTGGGTATAAACATCCTTACACCAGGTGTTTCGGTAAAGTTGGAGATTTTTACCGAATGACTCAGGACTGAAATTTTCGGTGTAGATTCTGGGGATATAAAGACTTTAGTAGAAAGGTTTGAAAGGTTGATAAGGAAGGTTAGCAAGAATTCAACATGACCGCCGAAGGTATTGCCAAAGATGCCAGTAGTGCATTTTCAGTTCTTAAGACCTTATCGGATTCACAAAGATCTGGGGCTCTTAATAAGATCTATGATTCATTGAAGAAGAATAAAGAACAAATTTTGGAGAGAAATCAAATTGATATGGATAACGCCAAATCGAATAACTTGAGTACTTCTTTAATCAAGCGTCTCGATTTATCGAATCCTGGGAAATTTGATACCATGTTACAAGGGATTCTTGATGTTGCCAAATTAGAAGATCCAGTTGGTAAAGTTAGCTTACAACGTAAATTAGATGAAGGTTTAAATTTATACCGGGTATCTTCGCCTATTGGAGTTTTATTGATTATATTTGAATCCCGTCCCGAAGTGATTGCCAATATTACTGCGTTGGCAATTAAATCCGGTAATTGTGCCATACTAAAAGGAGGTAAAGAATCGTATGAGACTTTTAAGATAATGAGTGATATTGTTAACCGAACTTTACAAGATGAAACTGAAGTACCCAGCAGTGCAATTCAATTAATTCAAACTCGTGAGGATGTTAATGATTTGTTATCTCAGGATAAATATATTGATTTGGTTATCCCAAGAGGATCAAATGAACTAGTACGTAATATTAAGTCTAATACTAAAATTCCGGTATTAGGACATGCTGATGGTATTTGTTCAATTTATGTTGACGAAGAAGCTGATTTAACTAAAGCTAGTAGAATTATAGTTGACTCCAAAACTAATTATCCAGCAGGATGTAATGCGGTTGAACAACTTTTAATTCATCATTCGATTAATCAAGAATCGATCGTTAAAATCATTAAATCACTTATTGAAGCCAAGGTTAATGTACACGTTGAACCACAAGTTAAACAAATGATTGAAAACGAACCGGAAATTGATCTTCAATACGTTTTCGACACAATTGATGATTCATTCGATAAAGAGTATTTATCATTTGATATTTCGGTTAAATTTGTTGAATCGGTAGAAGATGCAATTAAACACATTAATATTCATTCTTCTAAACACACTGAAAGTATTATAACCGAAAACAAAGACACTGCCAATAAATTTTTAAAAGCCATTGATTCAGCAGGAGTTTATTGGAATTGTTCCACTCGTTTTGCCGATGGGTTCAGATACGGGTTTGGGACCGAAGTTGGTATCAGTACTAATAAAATCCATGCTCGAGGACCCGTTGGACTCGAAGGATTAATGACATATCAATATCAACTTAAAGGTGACGGCCATATTGTGGGCGACTACGTAGGGGGAGGCGGTAAGAAATTATTTGTTCATGAAGATATATAGATTTATATAACAATGCTAATTAGAAATAATTTTTTCAAATTCTTGATAATCTTTAGGAGGAAATTCAGGAAAGTAAGATATAATTTTCCTACAATTTTCATCAGTTAAATTGAAATGACTCCATTCTTTTAAAGAGAAATAATCAGTCAACTGTTTAATCCAATTCATTCTAGTATCAATACTAATCAAATCATCATCAATCACGATATTTGACCGCAAACAAGATCGAATTAACCCCAAGTTCTCCACCGCCTTATTCAAATCAATTCCTTCAAACTGTCTTGCAATATTGTCTTTTATCAATTTTGACAATCTCGGTGATTTCCCATTAGTGCTAATCATAATCTGTAAATTGTCCTGATTAAACATACTCCCAAAATAAAAATCACATAATGGAGGTTTATCAGCAATATTGACCGGTAACCGCAAAAATTTACACTGGTAATAGATTCTCTCTGACAATTCATAATCATCAATGCAACAACAAACGTTTGCGAAAACTTCGTGTTCAACAACTTGTCTTATTTCTTCATAATGGCTCGGATTTATCAATTTCTCGATTCCATCTAATTCAATAGACGTTTTCTCATACATTTTCAAATCCCTCGATTCGTAATTTCTCTTCACCAAATTGTATATCACCCCTTCTTCGTGGAGCTTGACAATATCCTCGTGGATATGGCCTCCGCCAGTTATCACCGTGATCTTTGCATTGGCCCTGATCAAATGGTTGATTCTGCTAAGCGCAACGTCACCCGATCCAATCACCAAACAGTGTTTCCCCTTAACTTGCCATGCTAGCAAAAGCGATCCACTCACTTCCTTCGACATGCTTCCGACTGTGTTTTTTTTTTTTGCAACTTATCCCAATATGAATATTGTTTCACCGTTGACTGGTGTTTTTCGCCCACTGCTGGACCGGACCCCCGTGAAGAGCAACCGCGGTTTTGGACCAATCGAACTACTGGAGTCGCGACAGCAATCAAAACCCTCTACGGGTCTGGCAATTGTCTTCTTTTGTCTTCTTCTACCAGTTAGGTAACTGTTTGGTAATTAAGCAAACTTACACTGCAGTCCCTTTTGCCCCTACAGTAACCCCCAGTTGTGTAGCCCGTAAATAAAAGTGAAACCTCTTCAGCTGATCATGACCATTAGTCACATGTGTGTGTTTGCTAAAAACCTTTAGCGAGCTAAATTGCATGATGGGAACCAAACTCGCCTCGACACCCCCAATCCTTGATCTGCCTGGACAATTGGATGGTAGGCCATCCATACGATCCGTAGATTTACACTTGAATGTAGACCACAGTGATCAATAGAGAAGTATACAGAGTAAGTACCGATTAAAGGAGATAAAGTAATTGAAGTAATTAAACTAATTAGTAGATATTGCAAGTAGTGGAGTTGTCTCGAAATTTTAGTGAAAATGCGGAACGTCCAAAACTAAGTGGTTCCGATTCTTTTCGATAGGAAAGAAAAAATTTTCTAATGAAGGTGTGGAAGGAATATTAAATTGTATGTCTTTCTACATGTTCATATAACCCAATTCTGGTATTCTCCAATCATTCATAGGATTCATAGCTTAATTAATCATCACCGAACGGATTTCATTACTTGCCAACTTCCCGGACGTGAAATTAGACCGCCATTGAAAAGCGTTGTCGCTAATCTGATTCCTATTTCGAGTCGAAAATTTTTTATTAACTTATTAAGTATACTAATTTTTATTTAAGTATACTCCAATAAAGGCTTTGATCTGGGTAGATATATATCCTGATATTTCCGAAGTCCTTGCTCTCCAGTATAAACTACCTGATTCCGTTCCCCAGACACGTCTCTAAGCGTACTTACGGAAACGAAAAAGAAGAACAAAACCATTGGTACACAGAGTTACAGAATCAGTGCTCGAGGTTATATCAAATCGGTACTCAAGACCTTGTTTGTGGGTGTTTATTTTGCTTAATTTCGAGTGTTTCTTTGCTTGTCTTTAGGTTAGCTCTTTTGTTAGTGTTTATTTGATTTTTTGTTAAAGTCCAAAGGAAAAAAAAAAAAAAAAAAAAAACTTTTTTTTGGTTTTGCTTACTATGCCTGCTTTCAATAGAACAGAAAGACGTAAATCAATGGCTGAAAGAAGACCAAGTGTTTCTTACACCCCATCGGTGATTCCTCATTTGGCAGGGTTGGAAAAACCTCAAGATCATAGTTTAAAATTAGATCAATGCGATATTGTCATCTTGGGTACTGGATTGGTGGAATCGATCTTGGCTGCTGCTTTATCATGGCAAGGGGTTGAAGTATTACACGTTGATAATAAAAACTATTATGGTGACTCCACTTCGACTTTAACCATTGAACAATTGAAAAAATGGTGTTTAGAAGTAAACGAAGGGAAAATCAAACATTTCAAAGACGCTCAAATTTATATACCTGGTGGTAGAAGTAATACTTTTAAATCAAAAGATTATGGTATTGATTTAAATCCAAGAATAATGTTTTCAAAATCGGATTTACTCTCATTATTAATTAAATCAAGAGTTTATAAATACTTGGAATTTCAAAGTATTAGTAATTTCCATGTTTTTGAAAACGATGATTTCAATAAAAAAGTTTCTAATTCAACTAAAGAAGATATCTTCACCGATCAATCATTATCTTTAATTACTAAAAGATATTTAATGAAATTCTTAAAATTTGTTTTAACTGATAATAATGATCCAATTAAAAAACAAACTTTGATTGATCATTCAAATACTCCTATTGAAACATTTTTAAGTTCGAATTTTAATTTGGAACCTCCTCAAATTAATGAATTGGTTTATTCAATTGGTTTAACTACTAAATCTTCGACTAAAACTCCTGAAGCAATTTCAAAAATTAAAAGATTTTTAATTTCTTTTGATGTTTATGGTAACTTCCCAGTTATGGTTCTGAAATATGGTGGTCCCGGTGAAATTTCTCAAGGTTTTTGTCGTAGTGCTGCAGTGGCTGGTACCACTTATAAATTAAATACTTCATTAGTTGATTTTGATCCTCAACTGAAAGTTGCCCAATTTAATGATGGTAGCCATATTAAAATTAATGAAAAAATTATTGTCGCTCCAACTCAAGTTCCTAAATTTTTACAATCTAATTATAATGAAGTTTCTGAAAATTTGAAAACTTATAATATTACAAGATTAATCACTGTGGTTAGAAAAGATTGTAAAGAGTGGATGTCTGAAAATGAATCTTCTGCAATTGTCGTTTTTCCTCCAAAATCTTTACCTTCAAATAATTCTCAAGTGGTTCAGGTTATTATTCAAAATGGTGGTACTGGTATTTGTCCCGATGGTCAATCTATTTGGTACAGTCAAACTGCTGAACAAGACCCAAGTCAATCAAAATCCGATTTAGAATGTGCTTTTGAGAAAATGGAATCTTCCATCTTAAGAGAATCCTCGAATGACTTAGATGATGTTTTAACTAACGAGGACTTTGTGGTAAATCCTCAAGGCACTCCGATCTTAGTCAATTCTTTTAAATTAGGTGAATCTTTACAAAATTTTGTTCCAAAAGAAAAATTAGAAATTGTGGTTAAAGTTGGTTTTGTTCAAACTACTTTTATAAAACCTGACTTATCAAATGTTTTAATCCCTGATGATTCAAATAATATCTCCAAGAAAGTCGTTCCTGATTCAGAAGATATAATTTTTGCTAATATGCCTTCTTCTGAAATTAGTTACGATGGTATTGTCAGTGAAGCAAAATTATTATATCAAAGAATTACCGGTACTGATGAGGATTTCTTCGATGTGGATTTCGAAGATGAAGATGAAGAAAACTCTAATACAATTAGTTCAACTAGTAATGGTGCCAATGGCGCTAGTGCTGTTAGAGCCTCAAACCCTGGTGATACTGATAATGAAATGGCCATTGATGATAGCGATGATGATTCAGCCGCTAGTCACCATCATGAGCCATTCGGTGCCGCTGAAATGGAGTTGTAAGTGCCTTTAATTTTATTATGTTTCGGATGTTTCCCCAATGATATGGTATTTATAGAATTCGATTGATGAATTGAATTACAACTTCATTAATCCTTTATGTCTCTTTTTCCCCTTTTTTTTCAAATTTTGGTTTTACCTGACTCTACTCTACCGGGTTTTAATTTATTATATGCTCTTTTATCAGACATCTAATCCATCAATTGCTTATCAGTTTGCTTTATCTCTTTGTTTAATTCTCTCTAGTTTGCTTTTATTATCTTTTTTATCTTATCTTATTTTATGAAGATATTTCTGTTGATCACCAATATATTCTAATTCACCTTTTTCATTTCAGTCCTTTACCAGTTCCTTATTCCGTTTCTTTTTCTTACGAGTGAGACTTAATGTCAATGCCTATATATATTAATCCCAAGCGATGTGTTTGTTAATGATATAACTTAAAGCTTGTAATCCTATAGACCTGAAGCTCTCCTCTTTTTTGCAGTAATCAAATATAGCACGTGCGTAGGGCTCAAGCCCTACATATGTTTTCAAAAAAACCAAAAACTAAATTTTTTTTTTTTTTTTTTTTTTCTTTTTTTTTTTCTTTTGCGAGATGCCAATGCGAATCCATTGAAAAATTAGAATCGACTCTCAATAGTTTCTTGTAATGATATTTTTACTTCTTCACTGAGCAGAGAGTTAATCCCCTGACGAAGAAGTCTATTAATATCAATCACTCAAATTAATTAAAATGTCTGACGTTGAAGAACAACAAGTTGTCGAAGAAGTTGCCGTTGAACAACAAGAATCCGGTTCTATCTCTATTGAAGATGCTTTAAAAGTTGTCTTAAGAACTTCTTTAGTTCACGATGGTTTAGCTAGAGGTTTAAGAGAAGCTTCTAAAGCTTTATCTAGAAGAGAAGCTCAATTATGTGTCTTATGTGACTCTGTTACTGAAGAATCTATCATTAAATTGGTTGAAGCTTTATGTAACGAACCAGAAGAAAAAATCCCATTGATTAAAGTTTCTGACGCTAAATTATTAGGTGAATGGGCCGGTCTTTGTCAATTAGACAGAGAAGGTAACGCCAGAAAAGTTGTTGGTGCTTCTTGTGTTGTCATCAAGAACTGGGGTACCGATACTGAAGAAAGAAACATCTTATTAGAACACTTCTCCCAACAATAAGCGAGTCGTATCTAAGTTGAACAAGTTTCTCTTTAGGCCTTTTTAGGTACATACCAAAAAAATATAGTGATCGATGTATATTAATATAACGTTTTTACTATTTTAATACGAAATGTAGATTTCTTCCATATTAATTGGAAAAAGTAGGTTGTCGGTGGTGTTTGGGTCTTGTAACATCTAGTAAAAGGCGCGTCTTTAAAACTTATCAAGTGAAGACTTTTGGATAAACATCTCCACAACTTGCTTGACAGTCATAATCACAGTCTATCTATTCATATTGCAGTCAATGATATGCCTTCTCAAAGTAAGGAAGAATTGAGACAGGCCAGAATTAGGGGTTCAGGGTATGCTCTATTACTTTGATCAACCATACAAATCAATACTAACATAATATTCCAGGAGTCGTGATGCCAATATTGCATCCTTAAACATTGGTGCTAGTATAGTAAAGAAAAGTAGAGGAAGGCTGAAAGCCTCGAGTAAGAAGGACACCTCGTCGGAACTCCCAAAGTCATCGAAACTACGTTTAAAGGAATTGGACTCTGCACTCGTTCATCCATCCGATATAAATTTACCTCGATTTCGAAATCATGACAGAGACTCACTGAAAGAAACTACTTCGAAGGATAATAGCTTTGAGGGCGATGAAGAAAGAATAACAACAAGAAAAACGTCCAAATCATCTAACGATTTTATCACCCCTCAGAACCAGTTAACTCATTCGGAACATCTGATAGAAGATAGCATAGATACTACTCAAATTGGTGTTGATGGTGTTGATCCGCCTAGCTTCGCTAATCTTGACGATATTGATTCTTTTAAAGAGGATCTACCTGAGAAGACTTTTAAAAAAGAATCTATATTCAAAAAGCCTGCAAAAAAGGAATCTAAACTGGATCCAAGAAAATCCGGTAATAAAACTAAGACCGATCTACCCATGTCAAACGAAAGTGATATTTCCAACTCTCAGCATAGTGACTTTACTTTATCTAAAAGACCTTCACGTCGCCTGAGGCCCTCCAAGTTTACTGAAGGGGATGAAGAACTCGACAGGTTGCTCGGGTTGGATTCTGGTGATAATGATGTATATACATCTCTGAAGAAAGAACATAAAGCAAATAATTATTTCGATGATAGTGATCTGCCAGCTGATGAATATGAAGAAGAAGATGATGATGATGATAATGATTTTGAGATAAGATCGTCTAAGACCAGGAAGTCAATGGCCTCAGATGTCGAAACAGAACCCAAAAAGAAAAAACATAAAGGCAAAAGGAAAGAAAGTGAAGGCAAAACATCTAAAATTGATCTGGTCTTATCTAGAGCTAATAAGCCAAGCGTTTTAAAGTCAAGGCTAAAATCTTCTCGTGCAGAAGGTGAACCTGAGTTTCCTGAGTTTCCTGAGTTTCCTACAACATTCAAAGAGGCGAAGCCTTTACTTTCACTCAAATCAATCATCTCTATACCTCCAAGAGCTAGACCTAATACAACTGAAAAATCTGTTTCCCTATTGAAGAAGCGAATAGGTGAAAAGCAACGTCCTCTTTTGATTGATGTTCAAAGGCTTTTAACCGATTCCACCAGAGATAAAAGATTAAGAGTGAATACGTTGGATGTTGTACAACAGCTTATCAAGAATTTTGAGCCTAAATTACATAAAAATAGATTTCTTGATGAACAGGCTATACACAACGATTTTAAGGCTCACTTTTTAAGTCAATTGGAGTCTATCGGAGACGTACATGGAAGCATTAAAGATCTTCATTTTGATGTGACCAATATTCAAAAACAAAAGAATGATATGAGACGGAAAATTTTTGAATTGAAGAAAGATCATTCGAAAGTTGGAAACGATCTTAATCAACTAAGATCTCAATATAACAAATCTAAAGAAGATTATGAGTCTTTCACCAACATGTCTGATCAATTATGTGCTTTGAATAAAAGTATATCCAAACATAGGGCTGGATCATTAAATGATGTGAGTGCAGAATCTGAGAGTATTGAGAATGAGCTCACAGAAGATGTAGATGAGGAGTTGGCATCATTATCAAAGATCATTGATCCACAATCTGGTATTTACAAAAAGCTTACGATGATAAATGAGAAGTTAAGTAAAGTAGATCATGAATTATAGTGTTGGTCTCTAGTTTATTTTTTTTTTTTAGCAGTCAATATATATTAGACATAATAAGAACATTCTACATGAAAATCAAAGTTCGAAAATTGAAAGATTACATTTGCAGATTTATCATGTTGTCATTCAAGACCATTAAAATTACAATGTGATAGGAAGTAGTTTGATCTATATAGACGAGAGAATTGAAGGTGAATAATTAACAGACAAGACGATTGTTTCACTAGTTGACTGGTAAATAACAACAGATAATAGGATAATAAATTAGTGATTGACTCTAGTCAAACAGTACAGGAATAGCAAATAAAATCAAAGAAAAGTAAGACAAAAAAAAAAAAATAGTCAGAACTCATAAAGCTCAGGCTAAAGTTAGCAGACACAATCATAGGTGGTTAATGACAATGATGACGGAAGAAAGAAACTCATAAAGTAGAGGGAGCTGGTCACAGATCCAAGGAAGGAAGCAGCAACAATCAAACTCGTTCGAACCGCTTATTCAGTGACCAATGCCATAATCATTCTGTATAAGTAGAAGAAGAACATCAACAAGTGGAAACCTAATTTAATGAAAGATTCTTTCTTGTGTTTGGATAAAGTTCTGAAAATTTCAGTAGCATCTAACAAGTGGTTCTTGTTCAAAAATTTGTTGACATTGAAAGCTAATAAAGGTAAATTTAATAAAAAGACAAACCAATAGCCATTTACTAAGAATAATGCAGAGAGAACAGCATGTAATCCACCTTCTGGGATGAACCATGGGTTCAATTTGTTACACAACTCAATAGGGTTGATGTAATCACATTCTAAATCAGAATACATGATAGTAAAGAAAACTTGTGCAAACAAGTTGACCACATTAACAATAACAGCTAAAATAAACAATCTGAATGCTTCGTTAGTAAACTATTTCTAGATATATTAAACCTTGGTGTTATTGAATCGTGTGATCATATCCTGGCTGTTTCACCATTAACTTCAATGTTAATTGCTTTTCAACACACCTAACACCCATCGATGTTATCATTGGAAGAGCAGAAATACATACAAACTTTCACCAGACATCACAACGACTTTCAATCTAGTATTTAACTTGGATTATCTACTCAAAACAAGAATGCTTATATAGATTTAGTTTGTCTTTGAAGGATCACTATTTTTTCTCTTCGATTTTCATTTTTTTTCCAATCGGCAGCTTAAAATTGTTCTCACAGAAAATTCCTCTATTTTTTTTTTTGAATTACAGTTGATTGTAGACTTCCTTATCGGGAAGTATACGAACAACTGGGAATACATTATCGCTTTTGAAAATACTATCTATTGGTTTATAAAAACTACACCTTCTCTTTACAGATCCAATTGATGTTACTCACCATAGCTGATTCTCCCACGTTACCGGCAAAGTCTGTAGGGAAGTCAATGCCAGCATATTGAATCAATCGGTCCCAGTTCTTAAGCAGAGTATCAAAATGATACCTAATGATATGTATTTCTTTAGTTGACCTGTTGAGGACCAAAGCTTGAACCCAATTCCCCAAACGGACCAACTTGCCTTGGAAACCAACTTGGTTCACCTCCATAACCAAGACCTTTGGTATGTCTGTAGTTTCCTTGGGCTCTCTGACTTCTTTATGGGGAGTATGATTTATGGGATCAAGAGAACGCCAGATTTCAATGTAGTCCGTCTTTCGACCAGTCTCAAAATTCACCATAGACCCAGTCTCCCTTCTGTCCTCACTTCCTTCGATATTGCTGAAGTCGCCAACGTCTGGTTCACCTCTGCATTCTTCTAACAGCTTGCCTGTTCTGATTGATTCGATCACCTCAGTGGTGCTTACTTCATGCTTGAAATTTACTCTGCTAGTACCTTCAATTGGCTCCTCGACTCCAGTTATCCCCCACTGGAACACTTTGTCGAAAGCTTCCTGCTTTTCTTTAGTGTATGGATACTTGGTGCTGTAAATTCTAATATCAACAAATTCATCATTTGGAGAGGTAATGACATATGTGCTAGTACTTTCTTCTGGGTCCACTTGTTCAGGTATCCACTGTAAGGATACTCTTCTAGAAAAAGACATTGATTGTGGTTTGGCACCTCTTCATTTGATTATTTCATTTTTCTTTATATATAAACCGGAGACGGAATTTTTCTTCTTGCGCGGAATTGACGATGCTAGACGCTTTGGGGATGCTTTGGGGCTTACAACTTCGTAACTAGTTGCTTATACTAGATTGGTTGTAGAAATGATTGTCTAAGTTTTAGTACGAAGCAGCTTTTGTTTGATGTCTGTTATATTGTTCGGGACGGTAAACCAAAATTTTAGGAATAGTTTTGGCATATACTTGTTTGAATTATTGCAAAATTATCGCAAAATGACTGCAAAATATAAACAGCGGTGAACAAGAATCACTGGAATGACTTGGCCGGCACTTAATATATCGAGCAGTAAGAATGTCAAAAACAGAACATTGCAGATACCAAAAGTGCCAGTAAATACAAGTTGAGGGATAACCCCATAGTTTTAAAAAAAGTTATTTCTATATTATGACCTATACTTACAGATGAAAAATAATATACAATAGTTATACATGTCACATATCAATCATCAATACTACCCGAAACCATTCTTCGTTTCAAGCTCATGCGTTTCGTATGAGAAATAATTCCACCATCTAATTCTTTTAAATGGCGGAAAAAATTGATTAACAATGTCTCGTAATCGAGCCTTTCCTTAAAGCACTTAGGATTAGAGTCGATCAAAAGCTTTTCAACGTACTTTGAGTCCCTTTCAGACCAATCACTATTTCCTTTGCTCATTGACTTGTAGTGGATTGCAAAGTTTTCAATGTCATCCAATGTTTCTAAAACTATTGGACTTGAATCATTAGTATACTTTTGATACTGCGAAAATTCTAATTCTTGTGGATTGAAAACGTATGGGTAGTGATCCATATTCACCTGATTTAATCTGAAATCAAGTAGTTTTATTGTGCTTCTACTTCCGGCAAGACTTTTTAGGATCATTTCAATTGTACTAATATTATTGCTCAAAAGATATACCTTTTTCAAATTCTTCATTCCTCTTAAGCCTTGAATATTGCTTAATTTATTGAAATTCAAATTCAATTCACGAACATTAGGAAATAAATCTGAAAAACCTTCAGGAAGTTTCGAAAGCCCCATAGCCGATAAAATCAAATTATTCAAGTTTAAAAACGGATTAACTTTAATTCTGTTATTTAAGGTATCTCCATCGTATATAAAATTGAAATATGAATTTCCCGATAAGTCTAATTTTGTTACGTCACTGACTTCAGAAACCATTTTTTCAACCAATTCAGGATTTGCCTGGGACTTGCAAGATACCTCTTCCAAATAAGTTAACCTTTTTAAATCAGACGTAATATTGATAAAGTTACCGTCAATTCTCAATACTCTTAAAAACGGATAAGGTTTTAAATCGAGTCTCTTCAATCTATTGAATTTCAAAAGCAATTTTTTCAAGAGTAAATGTTTATCACCACATGCTAGAGTTTCCAAATGGTTTTCATTTAAATTCAAGACTCTCAAATTTGGTAAATTTTCAATACCTATTACTTTTTCAATTCTATTTTCTGATAAATTCAATTCTTGAAGATTAATCAAGTTAAGTTTACCAAAATCGATACTTCCTTCGATTTCATTTCTTGAAATATTTAATGAAGTCAAGTTCGTCAAGGCACCAATTCCATCGAGAGTTGTAATTCGATTATCTTGTAAATTCAATTTAGTCAAGTGAATATTATGGGAAAAATTCGAAAGATTGATTAGACTATTAAAAGACGCATTAATAAACTGTAAGTCTTTAAACTGTTTAAAGGAGGTGATATTATCAATATAATTATTAGAAATATCAAGATTCAAACATTTTCTAGGTAAACCTTCCAAAAATTTGATATAATTATTAGAAATGTTAATAGTCTTCAAATTAGGTAAAAATTTGTATAAATCTTTGATATTATCTAAGGAACAATTTGCTAAAGAAATTTTATCCAAATGACTCCATGATACATCAGAAGAATTATTCGATAATACATCAGTGATAACGGAAACCAATTTTTTCCTTATTTGTGAAAATGTTAAATCATCTAATTGTGATACTTGTGTAACGTTACTACCACCGGAACTTAATTGATCGGGAGTGATTGGGAATTCATCAACTTCATTCTTGCTATCCATTTGATGATCATTGCTTGAGTTCATAGCATGGGGTAAATCAAATGATACTTCTAATTTGCTGTTCATTCTTCTTGCGCTGCGATGAGGAGATTTTAAAATGCTACCATCGTTAGGACTTTCATTTTCATTATAATGATGAGCATTTTCCTGAAATTTATTATTATTGTTATTATTCAAGTTATTATCATCTTCCTCAGAATGAGTTATCAAGTCTTCAATAGAATCTAAACTACCACCATGTTGATTTTCTTTATCATTAGTGACCCATTTTTGATTTTTAATATCAAGTACCATATTATCATAACTTACTGGTAAATTTAAATCAGGTTTAACCCGACCTCTTACAACATGATCATTAATATTAGGATGTTCAGGTATGGTTGAAAGATTATCTGATTGAAGTTTTAATTGAGATGCACGTTTCCATTTAATAATGTCATTATCCAAGTGATCATCACTGATTTCAATATCATCAATTGAAATTTCTTGAGAGCCGATTTCATTATTCTTTTGATTATCATATTCGTAATCGTCATTGAAATCGTTATTATTATGATCATAATTATTATTATGATCATGAATTTTGTCAGTTTTTTGGTTTGAATTTGCTAATGCATCCATTAATTTTTCATTTTCTAATTGGAGTTTGAAATATTCTTGTTTAATAAAGTCTTCATTTGAGTGCATTTCTTTAATTGCTGATTCTAATTGATCTAAACGGGAAACAAGCTGTTCAACTTTTGCATCATGTTTTTCACTAGAATCAAATGATGAACTGCTTGAACTTGAAGCATTACGAGGTTGAAATTTTATAAAACTTCCCAATTCATGTGGAACCGATTCCATTGGTTGTAATTGAGGTATAGGATTTTGAGATAATTGACCATTTGATTGAGTTTTGAATTCTTTCATTGGTGATTTATTGAATTTGAAATCGGTTGCAGGAGGTTGATTTAAATGGGCTGGTAATTTATTTCTTGCATTATTTATCTCAGTTATATCATCAAAAGTATATGAACTTTCATTATGGGATTTTGAATTTTGATTTTGAATTTCGTTATTGACATTATTAATAAATTGAGATTTTTCATAAGAAGTAAATTCATCAATGTTAGTTGGTTCTTTTTTCAGATTATCATCTGAATTAGAATCATCATTATCAAATCCACTATCATAAGATGAAAAAGTATCTTGAGAGTTAATTTCATCAATACCATTAAGTTTTTTAGGAGTTGAAGTTGCAGTTGTATGATTACCATTAATTGATACGCTTTCATTAGAAGGATTTTTCAAAGGTTTATTTGAAGATCTATTACCCTGATAACCTTTTTTTTGAAGATTATCAAATAAGTTATTAGCTCTTTGACGATATTGTTCATCAGAATAGGAAGCATTTCTAGGTAAATTTTTAACTTTAAAATTTGAAGAGTTAAATGAAATTTCATCAACTTCTGGTTTTTTAGATTTTGGTGTTACTTTAGACAAGTTTTCTAAAAGTTCACTCATTTTGTTTCTAGTGAAGGTATTATGTTTATGTTCGAAAGGTTTAAAGGGAGAACCAGGATTTTTCGATAAATTTTGTTGATAGTTATTATTTTGAATATTATTAAATTGACCAGTTTTATTAATGGAAACCATTGGTGTTGAAATAGTGGAAGAAATTGAATTATTATTATTAATTGTATTATCATGATTATTTGAAAATTTATTTGAATCTAATTTGAAACTTTCATTTGTCATAAAGATATTTTGTAATTGATGTTGAGATTGTTTTCGATCTATATATTCATCATTAACTTTTTTCCACATTGGAATTTGAATTGATGAATGTTTTGAATTATGAATCATTGTATTAGTAGAAGATAAATTTAAATTTAAATCATCAGCATTTAAATTTGGAGGAGTTTTATTTAAACGAACTGAGGCAACAAAATCATTAAGATTTAAATTATTATTATTTACAGGTTGATCAATCCATTTTTCATTAAGTTCAGCAGGCATCCAATCAGGGGTATTCAAATGATCATCTTCATTTTGATCGATTATTTGAGAATTAAAATTCATTGTTTTATTTGATTGAATTATTGGAGGAGTTTTAAAAATGGAAGAAGAATGATTTGAAGAAGGAGGGTTTTTACCAATTGAAGGTTTAGTTTTAGCATTTGGATGAGATTTATATTTGAAAGTATTTGGGACTGAAACTGGTAAGGAAGTATAATTACCTGAATTGATAGAAGGACTTTCACTATTATATTCGAAATTAACGTTAGGTTGATATTTCAAATTTTTTTTATAATCATTTTCTGGGAGATTAAAGTTAACACTTTGAATTTTAGGAGCAGAGGATTTATTTTCTTTATCACTATCGACATTTTCAGATAATATTTCGTCATTGTTTACTGAGTCATGGATAATTTCTGTTGAGTTTGCAAAAGGTTGACTATCATTATTTGATTTTTTAGGAGAATTGAATTGAATGCTGGGAGAGGAAGAAGAAGAAGTGGAGGATGCTTGTATATTAGTTGATTCTTCAAGGATTGGATTTAATTGATTTTCGATCGAATTGTATTTGTTATTTGAGTTATTTGAAGTATTTGAATTCTGGGAATTAGTGGATATCACATTTGAGTCACCAAAATGGAAGGATCCAGTATCAATTTTTTGATTTATATTTACATTTTCATCATTGGATGAAGGTAAGGTTGATCCAATGCTTCTATTTATCATTCCGTCACTCAACTCGGTATCTTTGATATATTTTCTGATGTTCAATCCGGTAGAGCTTTGCCCGGAAGAAGAGTCCAGTATAAATCGACTCATGCTATTCAATGTGATATAATCAAGTCAGTGATGTTAGTGTCCGACGTATAAACGAGTCAATGATGTAATATCGAGTCAATGTGATGTGTATAATCGAGTCAATGATGTAATATCGAGTCAATGTGATGTGTATAAACGAGTCAAAGATGTGTAATATCGAGTCAAAGATGTGTATAATCGAGTCAATGATGTGTAATATCGAGTCAATGATGTGTATAATCGAGTCAATGATGTGTAATATCGAGTCAATGATGTGTAATATCGAGTCAATGATGTGTAATATCAGTATGTGGTTCCAGTCAAAGACTTGTCAGGCAAGTAGTACGCTGGTATTCGTTCAATTAATGCCCACCAATACCAGTCCTCAAGAGTAATGAAGAAGTGAAGCTCAATGATGAGGTTGTTTTTGTTTATGTTTTAACTTAATCCACAAACAAAAAAAATTGAGTACTGTTTACCTTTTCTGTAACCTGCACAATCGGCGCTGCCGGCGAGGTTTGCAGGTTACAGAAAAGGGTTCCAGGTCGATCTGTGGACCTGCACACAAAGCGAGAAAGAGAAAGTGAGAGAGAGCGGTCCATATGCAGCACACCCAACTTTTTCCCAATTAACTGAATCGATTCTTTGGTTATCTGAACACCTACTTGTGCAACTGATCCGTTAGGGTGTTGATCCGTTAGGGTGTTGATCCGTTAGGGTGTGGTTGATCCGTGATGCCCATGTCAAGCGCGTTGTATGTTATTATGGCTGTAGTCTACATATGGTTCCCATTAGATGTATCTGCGAAACAACAAGGACCCCTTAACATTACAATATTCTCAACCGATCGTTTAATCCTGCTTACTTTGAATTTGCAGTCATTATCATGACCCCTTTCTACCTGGCATCTATCCCATTATTCGGCAGTCTTGAGTAAAAAGGTTGGTAGATTACAATTGATTTGGCTTTCAGAACAATTTTTTTTGTAATGGTTGTTTTATTTGTACACTACCTGATCCACAGCACTACCCTTGATTCTTCAAGACAGTCTGGCGACCCATTCTGGAGTGTGATCGCCTTACATTTCAATTGGGAATTGGGCACCAGCGCTTGGTCAGCTACGGAGCGTGACCTTCTCTTGAAAGAGAGATCATCATCGATATTAGTGAGGATTTGTACTTTGATAATTTTTTTTTTTTTTTTTTTTTTTTTTTTTTTTTAGTTTTTTTAGTCTTTTGTTTTTTTTGACTTTTTGTTCGTCCTTTTGGTGTTTTAGGTGATTTTTCATTTTTTTATTCTTTCTCCTTCTTTTAATTAACCGTTTAGTTACGACTGCTATTTCAATTCTACTGTCAATTGATCGACCACTCTTACCTCCCTTTTGATCCCGTCAGGTCTTATACATTTATTGATAAATCACCAACTTATATTAGCTTTTATTAGCTTTTTTTTTTTTTTTTTTTTTTTTTTTTTTCTTCTTCTTCCTCTCTAATATATCTTTTTTTTTCCTTGCTCCTGTCTTGCTGGCCTATGTCTTTTGATTCTTTTCATTCTATCAGTTAGTATCGGTCGATTTATAATCACTATACTTTTATCACTCCAATTGCTTTCCAAGTTTGACTAGTTTTTGCTTTTTTTTTTTTTGTCTGTTTGTTTGTTTCGTTTGTTTCGTTTGTTTGTTTCGTTCTTAACTTAAATTTTTCAGTTTTGGTTAATTTTAGTTCCTTCCTTTTCCAAAAGATCCATTCTGTTTTAGTTAGTTGTTAATACTTTTCTCTTCTGATTTTGTTTTATCATTACTCTCTTTTACTTCTTTAATTGATTATTTATTAAGTGTTTTTTTCTTTTTCTTTTCCTTTGTTCTCTGTTTCTTCAATTCAGCATGTCTTATATATCTTCATCCAGTAATCCAACTCCTGCGGATGAATATTCTTCAAATGCTCCTATAGTTCAGGTTGAAGGAATTAATAACCAACAGAATCCAATAGAGCAGGATTCTTTATTGACTAGCAAATCTTCATCTTCATCTTCAAATAAATCATCTTTCCCAAATACTTTGTTGCCATTCAATCCAGCCACCACTATCTCAAATACTGCCAGTCATCAACATCAACAAGAGCAGGAAATGTTGAGCGGATTTGCTATCCCCAATCCCCCAATTTCCACCCAACAATCAAGCGTAATAGCTGCCGATAAAGATTCCATAGATTCAAACCATTTGCAATCTTCAAATCAAAATAATTCTCAAATCGATTCTCCTCGTACTCTATGGATGGGTGACTTAGATCCTTGGTTAGATGAAAATGGAATTGCCGATTTATGGTGGACTATTTTAAATAAAAAAGTTTCGGTTAAAATTATTAAACCAAGAATTTCAAAACCCGATATGGATTATTTGGGATTATCTCATTCTGGTTATTGTTTTGTTGAATTTGAATCTTTTGATGATGCTCAACAAGCTCTTAGCTTAAATGGTAAATTATTACCAGATATTGCCATGCCTTCTCAACAACAATTTCCTAAAAATCCTGATAATCAAAAAAAATATTTTAGATTGAATTGGGCTAGTGGTGCTACTTTAACTGCTCCAATTATTCAAACCCCAGAATATTCATTATTTGTTGGAGATTTATCTGCTTCAACTACTGAAGCTCATTTACTAGCATTTTTCCAAAAAAAATTTCCAACTTCAATTAAAACTGTTCGAGTAATGACTGATCCTGTTTCTGGGAAATCCCGTTGTTTTGGTTTCGTTCGTTTTACTGATGAACTGGAAAGACAAAAAGCTTTAATTGAAATGAATGGTGCTTGGTTTGGCGGTAGACCTTTAAGAGTTGCTTTAGCTACCCCAAGAAATAATTCTAATCAAAATAATAGTCTTCAAAATCATTCTCAATTTCAAAATCAAAATCATCATTCTCATCATCCAAATGGCCATTTTCGTAATCATACCCCTAATTCTTTAACTCCTGGTAATCCTTCTCAAGGTATTTTTTCTCCAAATAATAGAAATAATCCAAATTTTTATAATGATCCAAATCAATCAGACTTGATGTTTTTACCTTCTCATTCTGCTCATCCTCCTCCTCCATCAGCCTTGGCTAATTCACCTTATGGGTTTTATGGAACTCCCGTTTTACAACCTCCTCCATTTGATAATAATTTAATTGGTAATGCTAATACCCCACCACCTCCAATTTCAAACATTGGATCAAACTACGCTGGTCGTCCTTCATCATCATCCGATGTTCCTGATCATTCGAATGATAATCCTACTAAGAATAATCCTACTAATAATGAATTTGCTGGGTATCCGCCTGGTGCAATACCTGGATTAATCGGAATTCCTAATTCAATTGATCAATTTGGTGGTGGGCCAGTCAATCCCTTAATAACTGGAGGTACCAATGGAGCCAATGTTGAATTCAATAATCAGCCAAATTTAAATCATAATTTTTCACCTAATTTAAGAACATTACAAGGTAATTCTCAAGGTCAACCATTTACAGACCCTAAGAACACCACTGTTTTCGTGGGTGGATTATCATCTGAAGTTTCAGAACAAACATTATTTACATTATTTAAACCTTTTGGTCTTATACAACAGGTCAAAATACCACCGGGAAAAAATTGTGGATTCATTAAATATGATACTAGAGAAGAAGCCGAAGAAGCAATTGGAGCAATGCAAGGTTTTATTATTGGTGGTAATCGAATTAGGTTAAGTTGGGGTAGAGTTTCAATGAATAATAAGAAATATCAACAACAACAACAACAAGTGGCCCAAGCTGCTCAAATACAAGCAGCAGCAGCTTTATCTATGGGGATGGATCCTGCTAGTGCCATTGCCGCCGCTGCGGCAGCAGCAGCAGGGGGATATCCACCACCACCACCACCACCACCCCATGCAACAGGAATACCACCAGGAATGCCACCTCATCAAAAGTATGGTGGAATACCACCCCCTCCACCACAGGCGCTTGGGATTCCACCACCACCAATTCAAGGAGCAATGGGGAGCCCATACCTCAACCAAGGGTCGGGAACACCCCCTCCTTACATGAGAGGACAACATCGTGGTAGTGGTAGTGGTAGTGGCAGTGGAGTTGGAACTAATGAGGAAGATTTAACAACACCATTTGATACCAAAATCTCTGGATCACCAAAGATGCCACCAATGGATCCATATTTTTATGGACATCCACCACCACCTCCAGGTATTAATGATTATAATTACTATGGAGGGCCAATTGGATTCAATCATCCTCAAGCGCCGGATCAACAACAAGATAGACCGCAAGAAACAACTAACCCTGAAGACTTGGTTGAATCGATGACCACTTTAGATCTCGATGAAGCCAAACAAGAAGGTTCAAGGGAAGGCGAAGAAATAGAAGCATCAAAAGAAGTTTCGAATGCCTTACCCAATAGAGGACCTGGACCACCAGGAATGTTTGCACCACCAATGTATAATGGAGGGTTTCCTATGCAAGATTATTCATATATGACCCATGTACCAAATGAATATCTTTATCAAGCCGGCTTCAATGGACCTCCCCCACCTGTGGTCAACCAAGGAGCCCCAACCCAACAACCAGTTGCACAAGATCAAGACAAAGAAGAAAAGGCTCAAGAAAAACCAGAAGAAGAAGAGCCAAAGTCGAAAGAATCTGGGGTTGATGTTAAAAAAAATTAATTACATATGACTAATATCCAATGTTTTCACGATTACTACTTATACATTGAATTATTAAGTTTGCGTTGGCTAATTGCCAATATACTGTTACTTTTCATTTTCGGTCTGTTTTATTGATTATATTTTTTTGCGATTTTAATTATCTTTCCTTCTCGTTAAATATTCCCTTTATTATTCCTTTATTCTTTTATTCTTTGTTTCTGTTTACACTTTATTATTAGTTTTGATTTTTTATTTTATCTCTTTATTTCATGAGTAATTTTAAAAATTTGTTAGTTCTGTTTAATTATCAATATTTCGTCGTTTAAATAGCGCACGTAGGAAAAAGTATGCAACCGCTTCCCTTACATTTTGATGAAATGGACTTTTTTTTTTTTTGTAAATTTAATATATAGAGAAAGAAAAGAAAAAAAAAGAATAAAAGAACCAGAGAATAACACACTCAGGATAGAACTATAGGAAGGACATTAGAGAATCCAAAATAAAACATAAAACAATATAAAAAGAAGAAAAGAGTAAAAAGGGAAAAATCTATGATCTTTCACCTCTTAATCTTCTGGCTAATTGGATATCCTTCTTTTGAATAGTGACTCTCTTGGCGTGAATAGCACACAAGTTAGTGTCTTCGAATAAAGAAACCAAGTAAGCTTCAACCGCTTCTTGTAAAGCACCAATAGCAGAAGATTGGAATCTCAAATCAGATTTGAAATCTTGAGCAATTTCTCTAACCAATCTTTGGAAAGGTAATTTTCTGATCAATAATTCAGTAGATTTTTGAAATCTTCTAATTTCTCTTAAAGCAACAGTACCTGGCTTATATCTGTGAGGTTTTTTAACACCCCCAGAGACTGGAGCTGATTTTCTGGCAGCTTTAGAGGCTAATTGTTTTCTTGGTGCTTTACCACCGGTAGATTTTCTGGCAGTTTGTTTAGTTCTGGCCATTTTGTATTAACGATACAAAAAAAAAAGAGAGAAGTAACTACATCACCACAAAGGAAAAAAAGTGGGAAATCCTATTTATATATAACAGCAGAGGGGGAGAAAAAAAAAAGGGAGGATTCGTTAAATGAGCAGGAAAAAAGAAGGCAATTTTTTTTTTATTGTGTGACTTGCTGAGTTGATTAGATAACCAAGGGCTAAAGTGTCAGTTTAGGAAATGCTGAAATGGTTTCTTCATGAGCATACTAATTTGTATAGAGGCAAAGTCGCACTAATTTTGAGAACAAGGGAAAAAAAGTGAAAATGTATGAGAATATAACTGCGGGAAAAGCAAAAAGAAAACAGTGCGCATTCGCATTTAAAGGGGGTCGTGGCGCCACCAGCCCGATTCGAGACCAGGAGATTACGGGTTTTCCCATCGCGCATCACGTGACAACAACTACACCCAGACACCACGGGGGAAAGAGCATTTGCAGACAAACGGTCAACTACACTAACCAGATAGAAGATAAATATGATTATAGCAATGAATAGATAAAAATACAAAAGGAAATGCAATAAGAGAATGAAGAAAGGTAGGGAAACACGGCTTTCAACAAGACTGATTTATCAGAAAAAATCTGAAAGAAGTAAAATAAATATGAAGTTTTATAATAAATAATGGGGGAAGAATTATTTTCTGTACCATAATCTAGTAATTCTGGTTTTCATCATCTTTTTTTGTAATTGGAAAACACCGTACATCAAGGCTTCGGCAGTTGGAGGACAACCAGGAACGTAAACATCAACAGGAACAACACGATCACAACCTCTAACAACGGAGTAAGAATAATGGTAATAACCACCACCATTAGCACAAGACCCCATGGAAATAACCCATCTTGGATCGGCCATTTGATCGTAAACTTGTCTTAAAGCTGGTGCCATTTTATTAGTCAAAGTACCGGCAACAATCATAATATCGGATTGACGAGGAGAAGCTCTGAAAATAATCCCTAAACGATCTTGATCATAACGAGGAGTAGAAACATGCATCATTTCAACTGCACAACAAGCCAATCCAAAAGTAACTGGCCAAAAGGATGATTTTCTGGCCCAATTAGCAATGGTATCCAACGAGGTTAAAGCATAATCAACTGGTGAAGATGCACTTTTTTGAGACATCAATGGGAAGTCAGTTGGCATGGGTTTGGGAGTTAAATCCTTGGACGAAACATAACGAACATTACTATATGGAATAATGGCTCTGACACTGGATTTTCCCACACTATTGAGTATGGATTGTCTGGCTAACGAATACATGGTTAAGCTTAGGCTTTATAAGAAAGAGTTTGAGCTATAACCAAAAAATTTTTTTGTTTTTCTGTTAGTTAAAGAAGTCCACCAATTTTCTTCCCTTTTTTTTTTTTTTTTTGTATTTGTATGGTGAAGCCTTTATAAATTGTACATCTATTTCAATCAGCAAGTATTTATCGACACTGATTGGCCACGACATTCGCATTCTTACTACGGAGTATCCCAGGAATGTCGTGCGCTACCGGAGCCTGTCGGGGAAACCCTCGCACGGAGCCACGACATTGTCTTCCACTCCGAGGGCTGCCCCGGTGTACGGGTTGTATACGTTTATTGAAATATTGATAGCTATATATAATGGGTCAATTACTGGATTACGTCGTCCAAGTAAACCTTGAGTTTTTGGAGGGTTTCTTCTTTGATTTCTTGCGGTACTATTTCTTCTGCCTTTGGTTTCAAAGATGAAAATAATTGTTCGAAATTGATGTTTTGATCATTTTCTGATCGTTCCTTTAATTCCCAGTTGGCCACTTGGGATACTTTATCAAACCAACCTGATTCGTATAGTTGCAACTTGAGTTGTTTGCTTATTAGATCATAGTTTCCCGATGATATGAGATGTTCCTGGATTTGTGATTTGATGGCATCGAGTTCCTCCTGATGTTGAGTCATGGCGAACCTATTGGACAGACCGAGTGATTGAACTGATTGCTTGGGATGTACTTGGTCCAGCTGAGACTTGAACTGCCAACTGTTAGAACTCTTACTTGAGCTGTTTCTTAACTGTTATCTGTTGATTTGGTTATGTAGTACTTTTTTTTTTTTTTTGCTTTTGTTTATTTGACGTTTTCAGTGAGCAACCCTTTTCCGTAGCGATTGCAAGCTGAATACCATCACAATATATACTACTAGCTCTACCTTCATTCAACAAAAGTTACTGGTAATGCTTACGGGTGTTTCCAAGCATCATATTAGTCAATTGAAACGTGGTGTCGGTGTTCCCTACAAACCCTGTCAAAGTATCGTGCGATCTTGCGCAACTTTAAATCAATTATCAAATCAACCTACTACTTCTACTTATCGATTTTTTTCAAAATCATCAATTAACATGTCAACAAAACCTTCGCCATACAAAGCAAAAGTCAATTCTGTTGAGAAACTAGACCAAGGCAATTGGATTCAAACCCGTAGAATCAATTATACTGATCCAAATGGTAGTAATAGAGTATGGGAAATGGCAATTAGAACTACCCGTACTGAAACTACTAATATCGATGCAGTTTCGATTGCCGCATTAATATCTTATCCTGATAAACCAAAAGAAATCGTCTTGACTAAGCAATTCAGACCTCCATGTGGATCAGTTGTTATTGAATTACCCGCTGGTTTAATTGATCCTAAGGAATCGGTCGAATCAACCGCAATCCGGGAATTAATTGAAGAAACTGGTTATCACGGTAAATTCATTTCCCTGTCGGAAACTCAAGTCAGCTTATTCAGTGACCCAGGATTGACAAATGCTAACATGTCCTTGGCGTTCGTGGATGTTGATATCAATGATGAAAGAAATAAAAATCCTACACCTGAATTAGAAGATGGTGAATTCATTGAAATTTTCACTTTACCCATTAATCAGTTATTAAAAGGTCTTCTTGAAGTTACTCAAAAAGAAGGCTGTGCCGTAGATGCAAGGTTATACCATTTCGCTGCTGGAATCGATCTTGCCTTTGCCAATAAAGACATTCTTACAAATTAGAGTATATAGCTTTATAATTTATTAGTCTTTCCCCATAATTCTGAGTGTAGTTACTGGCTTTTTGTTCTAATATTTTTTTTTTTTTTTTTTGGTGATCTTTTTGCCCTTTGAAGCCGAGTAATCGGTAATAGACCCTAGAAGCACTGACTCTTTAGTTCCTATAATCAAATTATAGATAGAAATGTCTTTCGAAACTGGTGATATTTGCAGCTTCTGTCTTGGTGGAGAGGATGACATTCCGCCTTTCGGTAAAGCCAAAGACGCTAAAGAACTTATTCAACCTTGTTCCACTTGTACTATGACCACTCATAGAAAATGTTTACTCGATTGGTTTAATTCTTTGTCTCCCGATTCTATAAAGAAAGTATCATATTCCGAACGAGTAGCAGAATTTGTTTCTCAAGTACAAGAAGAACGAGATCATCGTCGTAATCAACACGAACATGAACTCCAAGAAGAAGAAACCGATAATGGATCAAGCAATGATGATGAGGACCGAGAGGAGAATTTTGACCAGCAAAATCAACATCGTAGATTGGCAGATGATTGGGACAATGATTTAGATCAATCAGATTCCGATTTTGATGATATTGATGAAGAACGAGAACTTATTGCTAGATTATTAAATGCATCGAACCCTGCCAATGATATCCCTGATAATAATGCCACCACCACTATAGATATCAATATCTCCCCAGCACTGATTAATAGGTGGTTTTTGAGCTTGGCGTCCGACATAAGATTAGACTTAAGAGGATCTTCTAAAAAAGTCCCATTCGATGACTCAACTATCCTTTTAACAACTCCTTGCCCTCAATGCAAGTCTAGGATAACGGTGTGTATCAAGCGTTCTCTTTTGCTTACATTAGCCTCTGCTTTCCGAGGGGTGATTAATACCGGTATTCAATCCTTTGGAGTAATGCTTGGTCTCACTGGTGCAGCAACAGGTGTTATAACTTTAGGTTACGTTGGAATTTCAAGAGTAGGTTTAAATATACTTGACTGCTTAATACCTTCGCCATTATTGATATCAATGTTGAGCAAAAGGAATAGTACTACTTTAAACTCATTAAGAAGTTTCTTCCCGATTAATAATCAGTCTTTCAATACCATTGAAGATATTGTTACAAAAGGAGTAATTGATCAATTCAAATTTAGCCATATTCCCATTTTGCCAATTATTCTATACAGAATGAGATCATCATCTATAATGGATTGTCTTTTTAGCAGACAGAAAAATAATAGCATGAGCAATTGGGTAACGGAATTAATGATATCTAACTTCATTTCATCACTAGGTAATAATCAATTAATTAAAAGTTTGTCTCAGAATATCGGTCATATAGGTAGAAATTTAAAAGAGCTTCCCTTAAAGTCGATTCCTTCATTGTTAACTCAAGGTATAAATATTTGGGATCCAAATATTATAATCGGTTTGCTAATTCCAACAAGATGGGCTTATGATTTCTTATTCAGACTTATCATTAACACCAAGTATTTTGATTACATATCAGTAATTAAACCAAGACACATAGCAAATAGTGTTACAGATGCAGAATTATCTAATTTGGAAGATTTACAATACGACTTATTGCAAGTGAAAAAAAAAATTGAAAAAGTATATCAAGACTCAAAATCTTCTTCAAAACAATCAAATACTTTAAGAGCAAGCCTCTTGAACAGCTTTAAATCCAAGCTTATTTTCATTGGTAAGATTCTCAGTTATAATTATAATTCCTCAAACCTCAACTTACCTTGGGAATATGTGAAATTGAAATTGAAATATTGGTTTTATAAATCAAAAACATGCATGCAAACTGATTATTCCACCATTATGATGCAAAATTCTTTAACTTTTAGAAGTCTCACAACATTTATTTGGCCAGTAATAAGTGGAGAATTGGGAAGATTAATCAACAGCTTCATTTTGAATCATGATGTTTTCAAAAATTTGAAAAACATTCCAAAGGTAAATTTGAGGATGATGTCAAATGTTATAGCCCTTATATTAGTTGTTCTAATTAAGGACTTGATTAATTTATACATGGTTTCAAGGAAAGTCAAGCAGTTGTCGAAGATGGCTATTGTTAAAAAAACGAAGAAGAATAATATACAGAAGACCAATTTACCTGGATCATATCCAAATTAACTAGCTACATTGGATTTAAAAGAGTCACAATTATACATTTAAAGTGAATTTTTTTTTTACTTTTTCAGATATTTTTCTTTTAAAAAAGGTTGGTAAATAATACAAATTATATAAACAAAATTTTCAAAGACCAGTTTTTCTTGAAAAATTAAATTAAAGTCAATGATTTACTTCAGGCGTTTTTTATTATTCATAGTTTTTTTTTTTTTTCTAATTATTAGGGATGAGTTTTGAATATCTTAAAATGTAGAGTCATCACACAATGTAAGCGGAATTGGAATTATTCATCATCGTAATTTTCATCTTCATCAACTTTTCTCATAGGAGGTTCTACTGGTTCATCTTTCTTTTCTTTTTCATCATCCTCTTCATCTTCATCTTTAGCTCCATTTTCTTTCTTTTCCTCGTTTTTCTCATTTTTGGAGGTTTCACCGTTTACATTTGAAGAGAATTGGGGTACAGCCGGAGCAGAAACAGGAGGAGTTGGTGATTTATTTTCAGATTTATCTTTACTGTTTGAATTCACAGCATTAGGTTCACTCTTTACACCAGAAGGCTTTTCGATTGGACTTGCACTTGATTCGGAAGCTGCGGCATTTGCAGCATTCATCAAAGAGCTAAAAGAGTTTGGTGTATTCTTCTGTTGGGGTTGAGGTTGGGGTTGAGGTTGAGGTTGAGGTTGAGGTTGAAGTTGACCTGCAGAAGTAGCATTTGTTATATGTTTTTTCAATATCTTATCATCTGACTTATCTTCTAAATCATGTTTGACTGTTCCATTAGTTGGTATAGGGGCAGAAACTGGGACAGCAGAAGTAGCAGGAGCAGGGGTAGCAGTATTTGAATTTGCAGTGGCTGGTGATCCTTTACTAGAAGTTTGTTGGATAGGAGTAGGTTGAGCAGAAGGAGGCTGAGATGGGTGATTTGAAGGTTGATTAGAGGTAGTTGCTTGAGTAGTCTGAGCATCTTTCGAAGGTTGGACCGGTTGGACCAGTTGAGGAGGCTGTTGCTGTTGTTGCTGTTGCTGTTGCTGTTGTTGTTGTTGCGGTACCTGAGGTTGAGGAGGAGGTGGTTGATAATGAACTTGAACTGGAGGTTGTTGATGAATTTGTTGAGGAGGTTGAGGAGAAGCTTGGTGTAAGATTTGAGGAGGATCATGATGATTTACGTTCAAGTGTTGGTTTGGTTGATGGTGGGGAATTTGCTGAGGAGGTTGTTGATGTTGTTGATGTTGTTGGTCTTGTTGATTACTTTCCAAGACCATACCTTGAGGAAGTCTTGGTTGTTGATTAACAGGAGGAGGCTGAGGAGGATGAGTATTACCTTCTTGTTGATATTTAATTAATTGATCTAATCTAGCTTTAATATGAGGATTACCAGGATCTAATCTTTCAGCTTGTCTATAGGCATCTAAAGCATCACTAATTTGATTATTACAAGTTTCATATAAAGTACCTAAATCATACCAAACTTCAGAAATATAAGGATTCAATCTAATAGCTCTAGTATAAGCATCTAAAGCATCACGATATTGACTAATTTGATAATATAAAACCCCGATAGAACACCAAAAAGTTGGATTTCTAGAATCACGATTAACAGCTTGTTGGAAAGCTTCATAAGCACTATTAAAATCACCCCTAATCATATGAACTCTACCTAAATAATACCAAGAATGAGCATCACTTTGATCAATTTCTAACGATTGAGTTAAGTATTTAAGAGCAATATTTAAATCTTGGGTGAAAACATCTTTATTATTTGAGTTTGAATTTGTTGGAGTATTAGAAGAGGGAGACGAATCAGCTTGAGAATACAAACAGCCCAATTGCTGTAAAACTTTAGCGTGTTGAGGATTAACTTGTAAAACCTTTTCATAAGCATCTTTAGCGCCATTCCAGTCTTTTTGTTGTTCCAAAACCGACCCAATTTGGAACCAAACATCCGGTTGAGTTAAAGGATGAGGAGGATTTGATAAGATATATTGGAAACATTCCAAAGCACTTTGTAATTTACCTTGATGTTTATAAATAATTCCTAATCTGAAATAAATTTCATTTGATTTATCGAAATTTGGATCCAATTCTAAAACCCTTACAAAAGCTTCTTCGGCGTATTCCAATGAGCCATAACGATCATATAAAATCCCAATCCCATGCCATAATTTAGGAACATTGGGATTATCTAAATAGTATAAAGCTCGTTGGTAAGCAGCATAAGCCCTTTGTAAATCATCCAACATCAAATAACAATGACCTAATAACCCCCAAGTTTCACCATTTTCCGGGTTAAAATTAAGCGCTTGTTCATACAATTCAGCAGCCTTGAAAAAAACATCTTTGAACCGGAAAATATTGGCCAATTTAGTTAAACATTCTGGAGAGTTTGGACTATGTCTTAATGCCGACTCATAAGACGTTAAAGCTTTATCGAAATCCCCTATACTTTCGGCCAAGGACCCAATTGCTAACCAAGTGGCCGCAGTGGTTTCTGATAAAATGTTGGATATAGTATCTTGAGCATTCCCGTTAGTTGGTGCACTAACCGCCGCTGCCACGGCGGGATTACTCGATGGTGTAGATCCTGGAGGTAGCGAAGCATTGGCAGCTGCTCCATTGGACGCATGGGCCATGGCATGCAAGGTCTGAGATGGATGGCCAGCAACAAGGGTAGGAGGCGCTGGTGCTGTAGCACCAGCTCCTGGAATTGGGGGTCCTCCCATGCTGACTACACCTGGAGGTAAGGACCCGTTTTGTTTGAGGGCCATTTGAACGGGTAAACTAGTGGCCATACTTAGATTCAAAACAGTAAGAAAACCAAAGAAACGGAGGTTATAACAACTTGAAGAAAGAAAAGAAGTATTAAGTTGAAATGAATATGTAATTTCCAGATTAAACTTAAAATTAAAATATACAACAACCACCAAAAAAAAAAAAAAAAAAAAAAATTGAAAAATAAAAGTCCAAAAAAGCAATTAAAAACTTTCAATAATTTCAGCGCCTAAAAAGTTAAAAAAAAAAAAACGAACGAACAAACAAAAGAAAAANTAATTTCCAGATTAAACTTAAAATTAAAATATACAAAAACCACAAAAAAAAAAAAAAAAAAAAAAAATTGTAAAATAAAAGTCCAAAAAGGCTATTCAGCGCTTTCAGTGCTTTCAGCGCTTTTTTTTAAAAAAAAAAAAAAACGAACGAACAAACAAAAGAAAAATCACATACAAAACAAAAAAAAAAATATAACAATAGAAAGATTAACAATCAATCCATACAAAAACAAAAAAAAAAAAGAAAAATCACATACAAAACAAAAAAAAAAACAAAAAAAAAGACAAACAAAAAAACAAAAGAAAGTAACAGAAAAAAGAAAAAGTAACAGAAAACAACAAAAATAAATAATTTGTTAAAGTAGTTCGATGGCTTATTGGACGATAGGGGGTGAGTGATGGAGCCGGACTTAGTCCGCTGCTCCGTAGCGTCGAGGCACCGCAGGCAAAGCGGAACTATCTGGGTGTCATGTGGTCGAGATGCTAAACCCACCCTGGCTCTGATGACGTCTAACGGGAGTGGGAGGAGGGGGTGTGAATTACGTCGGAAACAAAACAAAAAAAACTGAAAAACAAAAAAAAAACCAGAAAATAAAACAAAAAAGGGGGTGCAAATTCTCGTTTATTTTTATTTGTGTTTAGGCGCGCCAGCAGGTTGCACCCCCGGAAAACCAGTGCGAGTTACTTCTCCGGCAAAAAGGCCCCTACACCAGGCAGTATAGCTTTAGATCGTATGATTAGAGAGGATGCTACTTAATTACGTTTAGTGCCTCTGAAGGAGGAATTGAAGCCCAAAAGCTCGTTGATATCTTTGGTCCAATCGTTTTCTGTGCGAGAGACACACCAGATACCTCTTTGTTTTAGGTTTGTAATTTTACTATCGGGGGGTTCTAACCCCGATTGATTTGCTTGTAGCGCAGCCATTTGAGCGCCATTCATAACGTCGAGATTATCCAATAGCCCGTTACTGCTACCGGGTTCAATAAAGAAATCAAATTCGTTTCTTTGCAGTAAGGTTAGAGGGGGTTCGTACTTACCGGGGATATAAATGGTACCGTTTTCACTAACGACATGAATTTGGTCGCCTGGTTTCAAGTCTCGTTGCGGGATGCCGTCGATGTTTAGTTTGATGGCAACGTTTCTATTTGCATCACTTAACTTTATCATTATATGACTTGTTTGAGGTAAAATCAAGGGTCTGAAACTCAATGATCTTGGACAGATTGGGGTTAATAGTATGCAAGGAACTAAAGGATGGGTGATGGAGCCTCCTGCTGATAGGGAATAAGCGGTGGACCCGGTAGGGGTACTGAACAGAATCCCATCAGCAGTGGTTGTAGTTAAAAATTCGTTATCAATAAAGATATCAAGAGAGATTAAATTTGGCTGGCTGCCTCGGTGTAACAGAATATCATTCATGGCGTGAATCATGGTGGACTGATGATTTTGCTTATAATGGTCTAATTCGTACTGCTTGATTCTCTTAATTCTTTCTAATTCATTAATTCCAATATCGTTTTGTTTTCTTTCTTCTAAATCTTTCTTTCTAACAACATGACACTCTAATCTATTTCTATGTAATGCTTTACTTCTCAGATCATAAACCGATTGGAAACTCTCTTTGAATTTCAGAAAATCAAATGGTAATAGAAACCCTAACGTTCCCAAGGCAAAACTTAACACCGGGGGAACATTACTATTACTGAAGGCACTAACTGCTCTTAAGATAGTCCCGTCGCCTCCTAATGTAACTATCAAATCGGTTTTGTTCACTATATCGTTTATCCCCCCGGTAAATATGGTCACTTGTCCCTTTCCTTTACTGATCTTGATATTTTCACTGATTAATTCATCAGCAACATCTTCACTAACAATTATATTAATATCGGGGAAATTCTGGTTCACATATTCAATGAATTCAATCATGGCGTCTCGAACACTAGAATTCCAGGGTTTTTTAACAACATAGATATTTTGTAAATGATGTCGCCATATTATATTATGTAATTTCAGATGGGGACTGCCAACGTATTCGGGGAAAACACTATTACGAAGCAGCGAACATGATCTTACTTTTAAATTCTCACTACCCATGATCTCTTTATTATCACTCAATTGTCTAATCGTTATCTTATTAATTGGGGCCCTTGGATACTCTCTGGACATTCGATTACCAAATGGCCGTCCTCGAAAGCTTCTCCACACTTGTCTCATTTGTCCAATCATTCTTGACTAATTTATATCTTTATATTCTATCGCTTGTAACTCTACCTCACTGGCCTTCCTGATATTGAAATATGTGATTTCAGTCTATTGATATACAATCAATCGTATGCATTTAGAAAAACCCTAATCGGTTCAGTATCAACCTTTTTTTCAGTGATCGACTGTTAAACTCCGCTATTCCTTTCGTCCCCCTGCGGTTTTTCCAGGCGCACCTATTCTGCCCGATAGGAAACTCGGTCCTTTAGCCGTGTGAGTCAACTACTATTTTATTAACTTACTTTTATTTTAAACTATATCTAAATTACATAATTGATACATTCGGTTTTTTGCTTTTTTGTCTTCAATTTTCAGAATTTAATTCATTGATTTCCTTCATTTCTTCTTCAGTGACAACTGGTTTTTCGGAATTTTCATCCATTTTAACATCTCCATCGGTATCGGTGGGTTTACTTTCTTCATTTATATTACGTTCTTCTTTATCTTTATCATCTTCATCATAATATTCATTGTCTGGTTGTATGATTTCGTCTCTGGCTTGTTGGGACCCCCCTTTAGTATCTAATGCTTCAGTAGTATCTTCTTCAACATCTCCCAAATCTTCTGCATCTCTTGGAACTTCATTCATTTGGACTGATGGTGCATGTTTAGTATTTTCTAAATTACTAATAATATTGGTTAATATCTTATTTAAAAATTCTGGCAGATTGGCATTATACATATTAGACGGTCTAACATCTAACTTATAATCTGGTCCATAATATTCATAATAATCATTATATGGTAATTCTTGTGGTAATTTAATATTATTCAATAAACCAGCTTCAAATGACCATGTTCTGGCAACATTTCTCATAGTATAACCACCACCTCCAACTACCATCATTGGAACATTAAATGACTTGACAAAATTTATACAATTAGCATGACCTTGCATTGATAAATTGAAGCACCCTAATCTATCTCCACTTAATGAATCACCACCACATTGTAATACTATAGCCGATGGTTGATACCATTCCATAATTTTAGTAATAACTGGCTCAAAAATTGACTTATATGTAGCATCATCAATACCATCCCTCAATGGAACATTAACTGCATGATGTTTCCCTTTACCAACACCAATATCTCTTAATTCACCAGTACCAGGGAAAAATTCCCCATATTTATGAAATGAACAAGTCATTACTCGATCGGTAGTATAAAAAGCTTCTTCAACACCATCACCATGGTGAACATCAATATCAATATATAACACTCTTGCATGATATCTTAATAATTCAATAATACCTAAAACAATATCATTAAGATAACAAAATCCAGAAGCTTCAGATTTTTTAGCATGATGTAATCCACCAGCATAATTAATAGCAATATCACATTTTCCCCTATTTAATCTGGCTGCACCTTCCATCGAACCACCTCCACTAATCCCACAATATTCAAATAATCCATCGAAAACTGGACAATCATCTCCGACATTGAATTTAATCTGTTCTTTAGTAAACATATCTAAATTATCCGGGGTAACACGACTTAAAAAATCAATATACTCATCAGTATGGAATTGACACATTTCTTGCTTTGTTGCTGGTTTAGCACGATAGATTTCCATCTTTTTATATAATCCATAATTCATAATTAATGAGTGGGCCATTCTTATACGATGTGGTTTCATTGGGTGTCCTGCACCGTAAGCATAATTCCCAACGTCGGAATCATAGAAATAAGCTACTCTCTTCTTTTGAGTAGGATCTACTTTTAACTCATCAAACGGAAGTTGAGTATACATTTTTGTTGTTGTGTTCAGCAAAAAAAATCAGTCGGTCTTTGACAAGGCTTTCTTCGAGTAAATTCAGTCTGATGATCGAGAAATCGGTACAATGGTCGTCTGAGGTGAAAAGTCTATATCTCAACTGTGATGATAGATGTAAGTGTTTTTCCTTTTACTTAAACTTGGTTATTGTTAGCATAAATTTTCACTATCAACTTCTGTCTCTCTTTTTTTTCCCTGTTTCCTCCTTCAACAATTGTTGGGTTACCCGCACTACAAAGATATACAAGATATTAGACATACCAGTTTCATATTTACATAATACAGACCCTATTAAACTTGTTCAGTTGCTGAATACAGTTCCCTTTCCATACGAACTCTCTTTTTGTAATCAGCTAATTGTTGATTTAGTTGTTCTTGTAAGTTTGCATTATAACAGTACTTGTCATAGATTTCTTGATTGATTTCATAGTTAAGACCGTTATTTGCATCGTAAATTGAATTGGATGTAACAATGACTGGTAGTAACCAGGAAGCCCAAGTAGTTCCCATGACACTTTCCATGTTTCTTTTAGTACCCAAGTCAAAGATATTCCCCAACTCTTTCTTTTTACCTTGATTATCAAATTCATATCGGAAACTACCACCGTTCTTATTTCTATAATTCCATCTGTTTTCCTGAAATTCTATGGTGGTGGTGTTTTTCAGAACAAGGTAAGCCAGGAATCCTCCGAAACAGCCAACTGATAGGAAAAAAGTTACTCCCAATATGAATAGGAAAATTAATTGTAGTGATAAATAATCATTTTCGTATTCCTCATATGCAAAAAACTTGTATAATAACAGGAAGCTGACAAGGCCAGCAAATAAACTATAGATAGTCACATAACTCAAGAACTGAATGAAAAACTTTTGATTATGGAACCCAATACAACATGCAAACCAAGGACAATGATGGTCCATTCTCAAAATGCATTGATTACAGGTCGAGCAATGATGGCAACGATCTGGTTTCCATACCAGACATTTTGGACAATACCTGTACTGCGAATCATTTTTCAAAGTATGAATTTTCATATACAGCGAAGGCGGTTCTTCAGGCTCTTCCAAAGAAGCAGCGGTAGTATCATCGCCTAATGCTTCTGCTTGTGAAAGAAGTGATGTACTAGTATTAGCCGTACTTGAAGTATCGAGAATAGAATCATACGGATTGGCTGAATTGACTTTATGCCCTCCACCTGATGAGCTGGATATCATACTTCTATCTTCATTACCTGTACTCAAGGATCTTAAATTTCTGATCTTCAATTCATGGAAATTATTTGGTGATCCAGGTCCAACCATTATAATCTTATAGTATGCGTATATACATAATCCATAAAGTCCAAAGCCAATGACAGAACATATAAATGCTAGAAGCGGGTGTTTTTCTGAAATGTATATATTATTGTAACAGCCTTCATGAATCAACGCATACAAAGACCAGGTGAGGATAAATGTACAGAAAACTTTGGGGAAAAGTGATGATAACGCACAACAAAAACTCTCTAGACTATTCATCCAGGGCATGTGTATCAAGATTATTCTGGGATGAGATATGAGCATCACCAACTATTTAAACTGGGTCAATTTAACTTTGCAACACTGCTTGATATCACTCCAGTTGAAACGCCATATGTTTATCTTTAGATTTTTTTTTTCTTCGCTTCTGTAATAAGCTAAACTCCGTACATCTCATCAGATACCTAACTGCAAAAAAATGAAAAAAAGGTATTTTTACATATATTTACAAGATGCTATAAAATCTATAAAACTACTCTTTTTTGGTCTTGTTTGGTTTACTGTTTAGTTTGATCCAGGCTTCGTATCCAATTCCACCAAAGACAAGACCAACACCGCACCATTGGGACAACTTCAAGTAATGGCCGAATAATACAACACTCAAGATCATACTAATCATTTTACGGGTGACTGTAGCAGTGACCAAGATTAAAGAATCGAATTTTTCTAGGATGATGAAGACAAAGACTTGACCAATGGAACCTAAAGCAGCAAACGCAAGCACGTTAATTAAAGCTTGTGGGTATTCGCTGATGAAATTCAAAGAGTACATGATTTCGGCATCAAACTTGAAAATAACGGTGTAGAACAAGGTGTAGACAAAGACAAATGAGTTGAGGATGCACATTAAGTTGGCACCGGTTACTTTCACTACTTTTTTCATGGAATTATTTTGAGCAATGACTTGATTTTGAAATTTGAACAAGTGATCTTGGGTTGAATTGGTTAACCCGTCCAAAACCATTGATCCAACTAATTGACAAACACCCAAAAGAACGCGGCCATCGTTAACTGAGCCTTTGGATTTTTTACTATTAAGATTTGCTAATGTGAAAACCGCAACTCCTAATGTTACTGAGCCAGCCACCAAATATTTGTATAATGGGAATTTCGTACGATAAAATAATGTATGGATCAACATCACCGGAATCAATTTACATGACTTTGCTAATAGAAAGGCCAAGTAATCGACGTGTTTCAAGGATTGATATCCTATTGGCGAAGACAAACTGGACGTGAGTGAGATCAAAAAGAATGATTTCATATATTGCCATGAAATAGATCTTTTATTGGATGTGAAAATGCTAAAGGGCACTGATCTATCTGAAATCAACGAATATATAAACCCAACAAAGGCTGCAAATAATGCTTGTGCTGTATTAATAACAAGAGGCGCCTTGAAAAATATTGGTTCCTGGGTAACTAAGTCAAATCCATATGGCTTGGTGTTGATTCGTTCTTGCAATACCGACCACGATAAAAATGATCCATATAATCCCATTATACACACTATAAGAGTCAACAAGGAACCCTTTTCAGTTGGTTTATCAATCATCATTTTGGTCTCAGATGCCTTTTCGTTGACCGGGCCAGGAGCGGTTGTTTTCAAGCTTCCTTTCTTATCATCTTGTGACATTCTTATTGATTATTTGGCAAGTTATTTTCCAGTTTATATATGTGAATGCAAAAATTGAACAAATGAGTTAAAAGCACGCTGACTCGCCTGCGAATAGGAACAATGTTAAAGGTTATGATATCGCTGGGATCACAGTCAACTGCTTCGTCTATATCAAAAGCTTTGAGTAGTTGTTAATGAAACAAACAAATAAAGTTTTTTTAAAAAAAATGGCAAGACACTAGAAGCTTTTGGGTCGAGAAGACCTGATTTTTTCAATCGATTGTTGTTGTCCTTTGACGGCTGCTGCGTGCCAAAAATATCCAATTCGCTCGAAGCAGAAAAAAAAATGGCGAAAGACTTCGAGAAATTCATTGAAACAAAGGCATACTTGTTTGAAGTTTGAGGGCAACAAATCTAGTCCGCAAGGTAAGATCATGATGCGTTGCAAAGAATAGCAGGGTCTCGAATAATCAAGGGGTAGTTACCGACACTGAAAAGCTCTACAAGTATTATAGTCCATTGAAGAACAGGATGACAAAGATCTAGTATATATATTTATGTAGAGACTTATCAGATCAATACCAGGGCCAATTTATACTGATATGGCAGTTTATCATTTGTTTACCGTATCAAAATGTATTATTAAGTATATATAGAGAGAGTTTGATTAGCTGCGGCCAAAAATACCAAAGAACCCACTGCGTTTTTTATTGTCATCATCATTGGCAGCAGCTGAAGACGAAGGTTGGGCTGAAGCTGCTATGCTGTTTGCGCTAGAGCTGTAGTTGATGTAGTTGAATCCAATATCAAACAAAACTGGTTTGGTCAATAAAGGTTTGATTTCACCAAGATGATCGACACTAGTAATAGAACTGTTTTTTGAAATAAGATACTTATTCAAGTTTTCAAGTACATAGTTGGATTGGCGTATGTCCCCTTGCGAAAGTTCTTGATTGAATTGAGTTAGGATGTGGATTTTTAATGTTTGGTTGTTTAAATCTTGGATAAATTTTTCAAAATCTTGGTTATCGGTAATACTGTAAGGAAATTGATCAATTTTATAGAAAGATTCAGACGCACTTTCTTTCAAACTCTTTTGAATATGAGTGAATATTTTTAAAGCTTCGGAAAATTTGTTAGATAATGCAAATGATTGAGCTAAAACCATATTCTTATGAGATTCATAGTATTTGGATAAGTTGTATAATGAAAAGTATAAATCTTCATCATTATAGACACCAGGTAAGTCTTTCAATTGGTTTGATGTTTCAACTATTGTTGCGTATAATCTGTGGATATCTTTATTGATTTCCAATTTTTTATTCATTGACACCTTGTTATTTGAGTCTAACTGATCAATTATTAATAAATCTCTCTTTAGTCTTGTGAATAGTAAATTGTAATTGATATAAGTTAATAAGACAGCACGATCTTGTACTTTATCCAAATCATCTTCATCTTGATTTTTTTCTAAATCAACAGTATGAATTTCCAATAATTCATTCCATCCAGTTAAAATTGCGTCATATTGATTAGCATCTTCAAATCTTTCCCAGCCAGTTTCATTCAATTTCATTATCTTATAAGCCAACTCGTCATTGTATAAAGTGGCTTCATAATCTCTCCATTTAATAGAGTTAATTAATTGGATTTCAGAAGAAACATCAGATACAAAAGACTCATCTAACTTCTTTATGATGTAAACTGCAGGTTTCAAAAAAGGGATCAATTCATCGTGACAGTGTTTACGAGAAATAGATTTTAAATCACTGGTTGATTGTGGAACATCACTTTGAGAAATTGCCAAGTTTAAAGATGGATCGATTAAGTTATCCAAGATCTCGTTAATGACAGTTTTATTGAATTCATCATCTTCAGAATTGTTTTCTTTTTTAACGAGTTGATTGAGCTGGTAATCCAATGCGCATCTAGCAATTGAAAATGAATTTATAGCTTTAGACCATTGTTTCTTATTGATTGAATATAAACCTTGAACTAAAGCAGAATAAATATAGAATTCCAACTTAATTATTTCATCAGCTTCTGATTGTATAGCTTGTAATAACTTTTGACAATTGCTTAAGGATTTCTTAATTTTACTGATCATCAAATTCTTATACGATGAAACTCGTTCTCCACTAATTTCCATCAAATTCTTGACTTCTAAAGCATATAATAAATCTCTTTCAGCAGTTAAAAGTATCAATCTTCCAAATCGTTTATCTTCATTATAACTTTCTTCATTGATTTTACTAAAACTTTCCTTTTCTCGATAGTTTTTGGTATCTCTAGTGACGATTTTCAAATCGTGACGGGATCTAAGTAAGATTTTATTCAACTTCTTTCTATACTTATTATAATCTTCTGCACTTGTTAAATAAGCACTCATACGAGCACCGAAGGTGATCCCGATTGGTGAGTCGGTCATTATGTTCTTAATGATTAATGACTATAGGTGTAAAATCACTTCGTCGAGGAAAAAATTTTGTATATATCAAAGTGTATCCAGATCCACACGACCCTTTTGATAAATTTTATATAAGGTGTATGGGTGTTTTAATACTGCAAATTATATTATTCTGTCAGTCTAGCAATCAGCAAGATTTATCTTTATAATCCTCTTTTTCAAGATTAACTACATAAAGCAACAATATATTGATAGTATACTTTATCTATCAGAATAGTTCATCTATATATTCGATTTTGTTATCTCTACTTTTTCAAATATACGTTTTAACGTCCTCGAGATCAAAGTCATCATAACGAGAGATCCCGAGAAGTATCTGCTCCATGTAACGAGATCTAAAAATGTGGTCTCTAAAAGGAAGATTTTCTTTCTGCTCAAGGAAAATCTTGTATTTTTCAGCAAGATATTTATCTAAAACTTTCTGATTTTGGGCTGAACGAACATTATGGAGCATTACAATATGAGACATCATGGAGTCGAAAAACTCCATTAACTCTTCCTCCCAATGAGATAAAAGTAAATGATTACCAACTTTCTTCCAATTCCAATCAAAATGATCTCCACGATTGCTAATAACTTGATGGTTAGCATCCTTTAGAAAAGCATGAATGAGTCCAGGCAAACGTCTTTCACGTTTTTCTTTCAAATGTTCTATGAATTGGAAAATATCAAAAATTGTACCTCTGTTAACTGTTTCTAACTTTCGGATTTTAATCAAGTAGAAAAGTTCTCTTAGATATAGGTACACCATGTATAATGCCCCATCACCACTACGTCTAAGAAAAATTGTGTCTTTACCCGAATCTTTAGAAATTGTATTGGCATTTAACCATTAACGCAATTCTTTCCGTTTAGACTCGAGTCTTCTGAATGCATTTAGCCATTTGGAAATTTTTGTAACACCGTCAGTTTAGTGATCTTAATGGCTGAAATAAATTTCATAATCCTGTTTAACGGCTTCGTTCACCATAGCTTCAAATTTATCCATTCTTTCTTCACAAATTCCGAAAACTCGAATATCCTCTATGTTGATGGATTCCCTCATGGTTATGGTACCATTACTTTCATTGAGGTGGGAGTGTTCCATTAATTCACCATCTTCTTCATCGCTAGTATTCGATGGCGATGCAGTAGAAACACAAGTTGAAGAACTACCCGAAACGCTTTCAGAAAAAGCTTCAGGTTTATCTTTTAAAACTTTTTCTGGTATTAGTCTACAAAAGTCGGGACTTTTCCTGCTCATGTCAGTTAGGCTATCACGTTGTGTTTTAAAAACATTTTCTTGATTTCTAGTTGTTGATTTTTCAGGAGATTTAGTAGAAGTATCAGTGAATGTTTCTAGCATTTTAAACGTCCAATCGTTAAAGGCAGTAAGATAACAGCCTGAAGATATTACTTGTCAAAATACATGCTCCAATATATACAAGGCGCTTGGGAAGAAGAGAGTTTCGCGAATGAACATTTAATTATGTATAGAATGTCACTCCTTGTCGACATGCTCATACAATAAAGTCTACAAAGGATTACTTAAAATATAATAATTTGCAACCTTCTCAACTATTGGTGTACGGACTTTTGTGATTCGAAGTAATTATTGCAACGAGTTCTCCATTCTTCTTTTAGTTCTTCATTGTTTAACCAGGCTGCTTCAATGCTATTGAGAACAAACTCTTGTAAATCATTTATAGTGTAGTCGAAGCATTCAACCATCATCATCCAGGATTTGGTAGGTGTGACTTGATGAAAAGCCGGATCATCAGTGTTTGGGAAAATTTTCAAGCCTTTTGATTTCATGAATCTAATCGGGTGTTTCTTCGCCCATTCGTCGGGAGAGAGAGTTCTCAAGTAATATGAATTTGATGGAACTACTGTGAAAATCAAATTTTTCAATTTGCATGCTTCGAGTAATAGCTCATCTTCTAAAACTGTATATCCATGGTCAATTCTATCTACTTTTAAATCTTCAACTGCCGTCTTGATGTATGAGGAAGGACAACCAAATTCACCGGCATGTGCCGTACATTTAAGCCCTGCATTTTTAGCTAAATTATAAGCTTCGATGAAATTACCTGGTGGGCCCAATGTTTCTCTGTAGTCAATTCCAATACCAATAACCAAAGGGTTTTTATTCTCGATCATCCAAGTCACCATTTCTGTTGCTGATTCGGAAGAAGCTTCTCTGTCAATAGAATTAATTAATCGGCTTTTTATCTTGTGTTCGTTGTCTTTCATTGCTTTCAATATCCCATTAGTAGCATCGAGATAAGGAATCTTCGACACCTTGACGGTTCCGGTAGGGTTCCAAAAAAATTCCGTATAATGAACATTATGCAGATGAGCAAATTCGAGATATTCTGAAGTAATTCGATATAAGTCGTTGGGTGATCTAATCAAATATTGGTCTAAAGCTCTGAAGATCCTAAGTACACCGATTGGTTTTTCACCACGAAAGTAAAACTCTTCAATTTCTTGTTTATTTAGCGGTGAGCCTGCAGCTTTGTTCAAATCTATAAAGGTATTCTTCCTAATTGTTCCATAAAGATGACAGTGAAGCTCAATTTTGGGAATACCATGACAAAACTGCTCTAAGTCAAAATCCATCTTCCGTTATATTGGAGTTTAAATTCAAGTTTAAGTACCGTTTATTTCGACGTTTTAAGTAATTCGTTTTTCGTAATCCGCTTTTCGATGAGGGTACGGAATTTTACGATAAGATGCGGAAATGATAATGCAACCTTATCGAGTGAGTTAGCTTAATTAAAGAAGGAAGTACGATTTAATGTATTCTTTCTAATAATTGAAAAATCAATATAAAAATCATGGATTTCTTTTCGTTGAAAAGAAGATAATCTTTTATTTTCCAAGGGAAAAAATGGCTGCAAGTTTAGACAAATCCACTTTGAGTCAAGATCGTGTCGACTTAGTTGATGACGACGAGATCCAATCTCAAGTTGATTTGAAGCAGATGACTAGAAAGATCGATTTCAGATTACTACCATTATTGTTTTTCTGTTATACGTTACAGTTTATGGATAAGTTAGCGTTAAGTGCTGGATCAGTGTTCGGAATCAAATCAATTTTAGAAGGAAATCAATATTCAAATATATCTTCTATTTTCTATGTTGGATACATTATCAGTCAGCCGGTTGTTGTTCGTTTGATTCAAATATTCCCACCATCAAAGTTACTCACATGCTCTGTTTTCTTCTGGGGAATAATCTTGATGTCATCTTCCGGGATAACCAAAAGCCCATATGCCTCGTTTATGGTATCAAGACTTTGCCTTGGTTTTGTTGAAGGGTTTACCGGCCCCATTATGATGTATTATTCCGGGGCATTTTACTCCAAAGCCCAGCAGCCATTAAGGGTAGCCATATGGTTTTCAGGGAATGATTTTGGAGGAATATTAAGCGGGTTCATTGCGTATGGATTAGGACATATTAGGAATGGGTATTTTTCTGCACCATGGTGTTACATTTTTCTAGTTTATGGAGCCATGACAACTGCATGGTCGATATTAATTTTTTTCTTCCTTCCTGATACACCAGAAAACAGTAAATTTTTAACTTCTGAAGAAAAAGAGTACTTTAGATTGTATAGAAATCAATCTAAAATTGAGCGTAAATGGGATTGGAATGTTTTGGTTGAAAGTCTCTTGGATATTAAAACATGGTTATTTGCCTGTTTGGTTTGTTTTAACATTTTACCAAATGGAGGTATTCTTTCATTTGGATTTATTATAATTGAAAGTTTTGGATTTTCATCAATTCAGACTGCCCTTTTGAATGTACCAACGTCGGTAGTTACTTGGGTAGCGATTGTTTTAACGGGGTTTTTATCATCGCATTTGAAAAATGCTAGGTGTAATGTTATTGCATCATCGGTAATATTACCAATTATCGGTGCAGCATTAATATATAGTATTAGAGAAAAGGGAGTAAGATTATTTGGGTATTTCTTATTATGTGTGCAGCCATGTACGTTCCCAAATGTTTTGGCATTAGTATCTTCCAATACTAAAACCACTCAGAAAAACACCGTTATGGCAGCAATAATATTTGTTGTTTATTGTTGTATGAACATAGCAGCACCACAACTATTCAAAGAAGATGAGGCACCAAAGTACCATACTGCCTTCCGTACCTGGTTTAGTTGTTTTGCGTTAACCGTGGTATTTTCCCAAATTACAAGATTTTACTTATATCGTCAAAACAAGCCTAAAGTACATACTGCTTCTGAAGATACTGCTGATGATACTCCCGATCATCAAGATCCAACCTTTTTGTATAGTTATTGAATATATATTAAATTTGATATTTTTGAATGGTGAAACTCCGCACATCCTGTACGGTAACGATCGTATCTTTTTTGCCTCACTGATAGTGCATTTTGATTAGCAGTCTCACTTTGAATGGAATATGGAAAGTTTCACAACATAATCAAGATATTAGTAGCTTCATAATCGTTGGAGTCGGGTGAGAAAAGTTTGTATTGGGACTTTCCCCAGCAAAATGACGAATTTGGCCGATATAACCAGTTGAAGTGGTTGATTGGCAATCTCTGAGCTGTAAAGGTTGTAAAAATAAGAATCTATGAATAATGGAGTTTTTAATAGAACAAAAAAAATGCGACAAAAGGATTAACAAATTAGGGATGATTGGAAAAGAGCAAATGGCATAAATTATTGGAGTATTGGTATCCTTCAGCAATGAGAGACCAAGGCAAGAAGAAGAGGGTGGTCCGATATTTTTATGTAGATGATGATGGATCAACCAGGCTGCAGGTTTAATTAAAGAGGCTTTATTTTTGTTTTCAACTAATTTCGCACCCGGAAAATCGTAAATTTACTACATAATTATGCTAAATATACTACATAATTATGCTAAATATACTACATAATTATGCTAAATATACTACATAATTATGATAAATATACATAATAAGTATGATTAATATACATAATAAAGATACATTGTGAACATACTAAATACCAAGACGAGAATGAAACTAATAAGTTTTATCTAAAGGCTCGGTGTAGTTTTTATCGGGGTAATCCCAGTAGAAAGTCAATTTTGGAGGCCTGCCCGAGTCCTGATTATCGCACATTGTCTCATAATCGGCGTCGCCGATTCTTTGATCAACGTAGTTTTTAAAATCTTGTAGTTTACAAGAGAATCCCGGACCGTCGGTACAGTTTGGAATGGGGATAACCGCATCGTTGACAAGGTATCTCACGTAAGACTCGCCGTTACACTTATACTTTTCAGTGTAAGTGCGAGCATGCTGAGGCACAACCGAAGTTACTTGGTAAGGACTAGGGAAAATAATCTGATCGGAGGGTAAATGGTCTTTGGGCTGTAAGATACCTAAACTGGCATGGAAGGATTCGATATCGGTATCGTGGGTGAAAGATAACCAGATTTTACCGTTATTGGATGGCGGGTCTTCTTGAGTTAATAACGTCAAAGAAGAGTTTAATAATTGAGAAGACGCCCAAAGAGAAATATTATTCCCATTCCCATAAGTATAATACCGGCTTAAATCATTACCATACGAGTGACGGATGATTTCCTCATTGGTGAATAAGTTACAAAAGGGCAGGCTACCGCGAACGTTGGTTTCATAAGCACACCAAAAGAATAAAGCGTCAACGTCGCCAGTGGATAATTGTAAGCCTTGATTATCTTTAATTAAGCGATGCAATATTTTCTTCAAATACGAAGAATCATAATTCCCAATTAAGTCATTACGTTTACCGTGGTTATAATTAGAACAGGAATATTTTGGAGTTAATGAATTCGCACCCAAATCTTCCTCCTCACTTAACACCACCCAATTAGGCAAAGAGCGGTCATCGCCCAAAAAGCCTCTAACAAAATAATCTGCTGTTTGATGTACTCTAAAAGAATTAACCGTGAACACATTAAGTGGTTGACTCGAGTTATAAATAGACTCATACCTGCTTCGGAAGTATAGCCCATGACGCATGGCATCGTTGGTACCACTGAAAGTCCCTTCTGAATTAGAAGCAGTGGTTTCCATGTCATACAATTCTTTGGCTGGTACAAAATATTCATAATCATTTAGAAAACTTAACGGCCCGGCAAAAGCATTGGTATAATTATGAAATTTATCCATTATTTTTTCGTAATTCTGGCCTTCTCCATGCGATGGGAACCTTTCGCCGTGTCTGGCAAGTAGTTGAACTTGCTCCAACTCACATTCGGAGGGAACTGCAGGATCAATCCCGTAGCCTGAATGGGTAGTATAAGGACCAGCGCCTAAAAAATACTTAAACGCAGAATACTCATCTCCCTGGAACTGCAGTGGAATGGCCAACTGCGGATGAGGGTTCGTTGGCGAGGTGCCAATGACAAAGGCGGACGTTAATAGTTTACTGATCGAAACCATGTCTTGCAGCGTGATGTGTTTGCTCTTCCACCAAGCTCATCCCCCGGTATTTGTACTCTGATAGTTATACTCTGATATTTATACTCTGATATTTATACTCTCTCCATGAGTCTTTCAGTCCTCTGTTTATAATTCCAAGACCCACTGACAATACCCTGCTCAACAATAAGTATACAATAGTGAATCTTCAGCTCACGCGACCCTTAAACCCATTGTGGAGTATAAAGCACTCGACACCATTTTTTGCAACTACCGCTCCCGTCCCTGTAAGGTAACCCGTCACACGAGTCCCTACACACCTTTACGACAACACAAACCCGGATTCAACATAAAGACAAAAACGAATAAAAAATGCAAACAACACCCAAACGTGGGCCCCGATTAACCGAGTCGTAAATGTGGGAAGAAATAATACCTGGGTCCGTACACCGGGCCTTCAGATGGGAATTCGCTCAAAGAACATCCCCATGTGCGCGCGCAATTATTTTATTACTTACTCAAGATGAGCTAAGTTAAGCCCACATGGGGTTTAAGGCCGCTTGAACCACACCATGTGGTTATATACGAAAGCGTAAATATACATACATACATATATATATATATATATATATATATATTATATATCTTGATGTACATTTGTAAAAAAACGTTCTGATTTTTCTTCTTTGTAAACAACAAGCATGAAGGCCAGTTTAGCTTTCATAATAATCAGTTACTTGAGTGTGACTAATGCATTGAACATTCTTATATCATCCAAGGATTCATGGGTATCCAAGAATACTAGATACTTGTATCAGTCGTTGAAAGAACAGAACCATTCGGTGATTTTGAGTGCTCCATTATACCATGATCCAAACTCCCATCAAGAAACCAATAGTCCAGGTAAGAGAAGCGGAGCAACTTCCACCAAAGACGGAGGAGATTTTGGCCATTTATTACCAGTACACCAAACGTATTATAAAAACAATCAAAAAGTGAGTTCGTTACCTAAGAGAGCCAAAAATATCATTGGTAAAAAAGACGAGGAAGAGTTTGAAGCTGGAATTGCATCTACCATATCAACTTCTTCTTATGGACAAGATCCATTAGACCACGATATTTGGTATGTCAATGCATCTCCTCTTAATACGTTATTGATCACTTATGATGTGCTTTTACCAACTTACTATCCTGATTTTGTTCCTGATTTGGTGATTTTGGGGCCTAATGAAGGATTATCATTAACCGATTATAATCACCCCTCGGATATATTTGTGGATTTGGAAGACCATTCGTATGAAGACGCGTTGGAATCAATGATCAAATTGACCCAATTGAAGGACTTCCCGGTGATGGCGGTTTCCACTGAAGATAACCATCACATCTACTATCAAGATGAACATTTCTTCAAGATCCAAAAACCAACTTTAACCGAAAGCTTGAAAAAGAAAAATGCTTTTGCTAAAAATATCTTGTTTATCAACGAGCAAATTTCCCAATTGATTGATTTACTCTTCTCTAAAACAAGCATTTCCAAAAACCAGATTAGTCTCAATATTAATTTCCCTTCAATGAATCATGATCAATCCAATTGTTTTACTTCAGTTTCTAAAAAATCTTCTAAAAATCCAAAATATAAACAAGCCTCTTCCAAAATAATGAAAAATCACTCTAAACATACCATTTCTATTCCAAATTATATCTTGAACCACGGGGAAATCACTTCTTCTGGTTCCTATAATATCACCGTTGATTACCCTAAAGATAAAGACCCTAAAATCCTCTTACAAACTAACTTGATTGATGAACCAAAAAGTACTTTTGTCGATAAAAGATCTTACTACTACCAGCAGAAAGTTAAATTGGGCTCTCCTTCTGAAATTGCCAAAATTGAAAATTCAATTGCAAAAAGAAATGATGAAAATATCGAATTGACTCAAAGCATCTCCGATAATGAAGAACTTAACTCGCTAATCAATAATAACATTGAGGAAATTAACGTTTTGAAAAATTGCGGTATCTCAGTCAGTATCGGTCATTTAAGTTTATCTGATGGTGTCTCGGAAGATATCTTCAGATTACTGGATTTATTCAATTAGGTTAAAAGCTGGTCTTTGATCTTATAAAAGTTTAAAAAAAATTAGATTTTCTCTTCTTTCGTCCCTAAATTTTCGTTTTCGCCTTTTTACTTCTTTATAGACTTGTATTAATTTAATACCTTATACCTTTTACTTTACCTTTGTAATATCTAAATCCTATACCTTTAATGTCTTTTATCGCACGTTTGCAGTTTGTCTGCAAAAAAAAAAAAAAAAAAAAAAGAAACAAGTCACGTGCACTTCCGTATACAGTGGGTATGGTTTTATCTTTAATAATCATCAATACCTGATCCAACTTCATACTACTTCCCACAAGCATGCCCACACTCATACCTGCTTCTCCCGAGGCGTCGTTGACCCACCGTCATCATCAACACCATGACTCTCCTTCCCACACTAAGCCTAAGCGTACTGCAAAATTGGGCACCTTATCGTGCATTTCCTTAATCACCAACAAAATGTTGGGAACTGGTCTCTTCAGTACCCCTTCTCTCATATTCAGGTTGACTAATGGTAACGTCCCATTATACTTTTCCTTATGGATTGTCGGTGCAATCGTTGTTTTCAGCGGGCTAATCATATATTTAGAGTTTGCATTGAACCTACCTTTCAAAAACGGTGGTGAAAAAAATTATTTATTAAAAGTATTCAAAAATCCAAAAGGTTTAGCAGGTTGTGTCTATGCTTTCCAAATGGTTTTGCTTGGATTCAGCTCAGGTAACTCTTTTGCCTTTGGGAAATATACTTATTTTGCATTAACCGGTAATCAAGACCTGGATAATGAATCTTATAGTAAATTGATCGGAGTTGGTTGCATCTCTTTTTGTATTTGGTTACATATAAAGTTCCCCAATCAAGGTACTTCCCTTTTTAATTTTTTAGGTATAGTGAAAATTTTAATCTTAGTTCTTATCATTTTACTTGGTGCTTTGGTTGGGGTTGGATTAATCTCCATTAATGATTCTGATTTATCAATTACCCCTTCTTTGAAAAACGAAAATGGTATGTACTCAATTTCAGTGGCTCTACTAGAAATCATTTATTCTTTTAAAGGTTGGGAAAATGCAAACTATGTTTTATCCGAAATTGATGACCCTTATCATGTTTTGACTATAGCTGCACCTCTGGCTGTTGGAATAGTTACCATTCTTTATTTTTTGGTAATAATAAGTTATTTGGTAGTAATACCAAAGGCAGAATTATTAGATAGTGGGGTCTTGGTTGCAGGAATATTCTTCAACAAAATCTTTGGTGAAGGCTTGACTTCACAATTATTGCCCTTTTTAATCGCTTTATCAACCTTGGGTAATGTAATGGTTGTTTCGTTTGCTCATTCATATGTCAACCAAGAACTACTGAAGAGTAATTATATCCCCTTTTCAAAGTATTTCCAAAATATCAATCACTCATTGTTATTACACTGGGCTATAACAATATTGGTCATGGTCGTACCTCCGCTGGCGGAAATTTATGAATTTGTGGTCAATTTATACATTTATCCTGGTACTTGGATTAATCTATTCATCACCATAGGATTAATTTATCTTCGATTGAATAGAAAAAGAGAACAATGGGGTAAATATAACGCAAAATTTAATCTTGGAAGTTTAACAGGAACAGATACTGAACAATTAGATAGTATATACCCGCTGAATGACGATGAAAGTGTTTATACAGAATTTGATTCCTTGATATCTTCTGAAAACCCGGTTGAGGGCAAAATCATCTCAGCTCCTTATATATGTATCTTTATCTTCCTAATTGCAAATTTATTCCTAGCCCTCTTCCCATTTGTTCCTCCAGTTTCCCCTAGTAAACTGTCAATCCCATACTGGCTTTTCCCAGTTGTCGGTACCTCTGTTCTACTTTTTGGTGGCTTCTTTTTTTACACTAGAAAGTGGCTCAACTCCTTCACCTATGAAAAATGGAATATAGGCGAACCTGATATCAAATATGAAGAAGACCATCTAGAATAATTTATAGACTAATAAACCAAGTATAATAAATCCTCTAAACGTTCAACCCTTAAATCGTATTTTTTTGCAGTAAAAAACAGTAGATATTTTGTCCGAGGTCGCTATTTTTTCTCCCACCGCTCTTTCATTTATTGAGACGACTCACAAATCGACATCAAATTGCCCCACAATACTTTGTCTTTACTTGAATCTCTTCTGATAAACTTTGGGATTTACATAGCTATGAATGGGTCATATAGCTCAGGCTCACAGTACGAGTCGTCATCAATTATTCTACCCAAGTCAATGATTGAAAGCAGATACCAATTGTGTGAAAAGAACTTCAGGAACAAGAATTTCGGTAAATCTTACAAAGAGATAAGCGACTTATATGAAACCAGCTTCAAGCATTTCACTAGGGAAGTGATAGATGAATCTCTTTTTGTTAAGATTGTCCAGCTTTATTTTGTTCAGGTTGGGTTACTTCTTCCCCAAGACGATAATCACGGTCCAAGAGTGTTGTCGAGAGGTGAACGTCAAAAAATTTCCAAGTATTTCAAAGATGAAACGGTAATGAATGATTTATTAGAAGTGTATGACGATGTTTATAATATTCCTTCGAATCTTTTGTTGAATTTATTTTTCATTTACTACTCCATTGATGAACTGCAAAATAAAGACTTCCTTTGTCTTCAATTTAGTAGAATATACCCCATGTTAGATTTTGAAAAGAAGCCAGAGGACGAGAACTTGAAAAACCTACTTAACTTTTTCGTTTTCAAAGTTTTTGTCGAATTGAATCACTATGAAAAAAGTTTCAAGATCATCGAAAAGAACCCAATTTATTCCTCCAATGTCAACCAGTATAACGAAAAGCTAAACAAGATGAAAGCATCCCATTTGGAAAGGGAAAAGGTTTTTGCTAGCAAAAAAAAAGAACAGCAAGATAGGGAGAAGCAACAGCAAAAGCAAGAGGCCGTCAAGCAACAAGAGGCAAAGAAAAATAGAAATTTAAAATACAGATCATTGAAGGAGATCAAAAAGGAAGCAAACGATGACAAAGAAAGGTCTATGTTCAATAGAAGTTACAACCAAAGTCCAAATGCAGAGGATAACCAGCAACTAATGAAAAAGCTTTTGGGTAAAGTTTTGTATTCCTATAACTTATCGAAGAATTTCTTGAGTGAAAACTCTCCAATAGTTTTAGTCTCAATTATATTGATCCTTATAGTTACTCGCTTTGTCAAGGTTAGGAAAATTAACGTAACGGAAAAGATAAAAGAAACCTTTAAGATGGCATTCAAAGTTTCGTATTTATGATTATTTACATGTACGTAGATATATAATTAACATATCAAATTTATAAGAATAGAGGAACTTCAAATGCATCACCAACGGCCTCGACCGTTTTAGACTTTCCAGAATCTCCTTTCTGGCGTTTTTTGTTATTATTGTTATTTGGTTTTTTCGAGCTTTGGGGATCATAGACGGTTTCATCAACCTGAATATCATCATACTCTTTATTTTGAGGAGCCTGCCTAAATGAATCGTAAGTCAATTGAGGAATTCCATCCTTGGTCAACAAAGAGGCGAACTCAGATGGCTTACGTGCAGCTTGTTGCTCTCTCATAAGAGCCAAATCTTCATAGTCTTCATTGACATCATTTGGTGGCCTAGTTTTAGCCGTTCCATTATTATTATACTCTCTTATATATTCATAAAAATCATCATCAAATATATTATTGAGACTAAGTTCAGTTAAGTCGTCAGTCCCAAACTCATCGGTTACTGTAGAAATTTCCAACATATTAAAAGTTATTAAAGTACCAGCGTAGTTTGGTAGTTTAGGATTTTTACATAATAACTGAACTGAAAGTATACCTGACAAATCCTTCATGATTTTACACTTTGATGATAATTTAACTGCTTTAAAAATCTTGATAAAATTAGTAAAGTTATAGCAGGTTATTAAGGAGCTTTGAGTTTGTATCATTTCATCGCTTTGGTTCTTTTTGAATATATCAAGCTTTTCTAACATGACCTTGTGATTGGGGAACAATAATTTCAGGTGTCCAATTGCACCTTTTGAAATAAAATTCAATTGATTATCCATAAAGGCAACTCGGTTATAATTACGAGATGGCTGACCCGGCTTTTCACCTAAATTTCGATATTTGTTAGAAACAAATATATATAAATCTACCGTATTTATTTGCTGCAAATCTTGAAGTAAATTAGTAAACACATCACTTCTTAGTATAACCTCAAAATGAATTTCACTTGGATTAACAATCAAATCATATTGCTCTTCATCTTCAATTTCATTGGGATCATAAGGGTATCTTATATCAAGGTAAAATGTCAAAAATTCAATCTTTTCATTCATAAGACGATCCTCAAACTCTATAATTAAAGGATGTCCTTCTCCATTATACGTTATGTAACATACAACATTATCATTATTATTAGCAGCGGAAACATTCGTAGAACCACTAGCAGCATTTCCACCCTTACTTCCAGTTGTAGCAGCAGCGGAGAAAGATTCTGCAATCAAGCTGACATCAATACCTAGTCGTAGTTCTTGACTCTCTAGGTCACTAAGAGATGTCGGAGTGGGTCCGTCATCTTCAGAATAAATATTATAGGTGCTGAACAATGATGGATCTATAGTAAGGTGGGCATTTAAAATGTGATTGTACTCAGCATAGATATTTATACCTTTCAGTGAAATCACCATAAGAGCCTGGGTGTTTATTGTAGTTATCGATGAAAATACATCTGCTAGGTGTGAAACCTGATTAGTTGAACCAGTGAAAGTAATAGGCTTTTTGGGTTCATGCTCATCCTGGGAAGACTCGAGAAATAGTTGGGTTAGAGTCATTGTAGTTTGAATCTCAATACACTTACACTATTCCCTTCATTTGTCTTGTAAGCATAGAGTATTCTTGTTACATGTAAAATGAAAATTATTTAAAAGATCAACGCGTATTACTTTTTGCACAGATTTTTTTTTTTGTTTAGTTCCATCATTACACTACATTAATTAGTGAAAGCTATAAAATTTGCTAATATATTTATAAGCTAGCAAAGAACAAAGTGAACTAGAAAGAAAGAAGTATAAAGGGTGGGCCAAACAATATAATAACTTAATTATGATGAGCTAAATCATTAACAGGATAACTTGGTAAAAAGAATTGGGTTCGATCGAAGAACGGTAATTTTGATTTAATAAAGAACCATAATGAACTGAAATAAGAATTAGATTTTATATATATATGATTTTTTTTTTTTGGAGAAATGTTTGTAATGAAGTGAGCCTTTGTTTAATAGACAGAAATATAGTTTTCAATTCTATTTTTTTGATTTTGGGCTATACATTCAGCAATCCAAGTAATGTTTCTAATTTCTTGTTCTTTTGATCTTAGCCATGCCCAAACAGTTGATAAAGTAAATTGTTGAGTGAAGGCATTTCTGTTATATTGCATTTCCAACAAGTAGAACCAGTCTTCTAAGTTCTTGGAACCAGAAGAGTCAGCAGAGTCACTGAATAAGTCCAGATATTCACCAACACTTTCGACTAGTAATTTTAATTGTTCAATATCGTCAACCTGGGATAGTTCTTTATGATAAATAGGATAAAGTTTACCATATTCTGGGAATAAAGAAAGTTTATCTTCAGGGGTTAATTCTTGATTATTCAAAGAATTGATTGAAATGTTAATGACTCTTTTATCAGCTTCAAAACTTAATAAATTAGTCATGATTTCTTTATCAGGTGAATCAAACTCTTTTTCAACAAATTCAACAAATGATTCCAAGTAGTTTTTGTATAAACGATTTCTAATGATTTCGATATTCAAATCATCCAAATCATCAGCAGTTAAACAATCTTTGAAAAATGGTGCTAATGGGGTGTCAATTAAAACAGTACTATATAAACTTTCAATATCAGTTGCAATTGATAAGGTAGGTAAGGTATCAAACCAACCTAATGGATGACATTTGGCCAAGATTTCAGATTTGTCTCTTTCATGAAGAGTACCGGTAATCATCAAAGCAACGTTATCGATCATATAACCATAACTAATATAATCCAAAAATTTAGTTAATTTACCTGATGATTGTGCTTTTAAATATTGAAATTGTTGATATAATTTTCTAGATAAACTATCTTGTATAATAGATGTTGACAATGGGCCCGCTTGAGATGCTAAAAAGTTACCGTAATCAGTGGCTGACAATTGTAATTTCAAATCTTCCAAGTTATCACATTGGGTTAAATTAACGTATTGATTACCAACCAATAACCCATTTCTATAACCTCTAACAACCCCTTCAACGTAACCGTAATCAATATTGAAAAATAATCCCTCCATTTTCTCCTATTGTATTCAATTCGAAACCTGGCTATTGATCCACTGTTGATGAAATCTAATTCTAATATACTGATATCTTTCTTTCCTAGTGAGTTTTTCTTTCACCAAAAAAATTAAAAGTCGGGAGTTTCGCACTAAACTGTAAATCTCTTCGAGCACGAGGATTTTACAGCTTGAGGTTTGGTTGAAATAAGAGGATGCCAACTAGATCTAAACCGACCTCTTGCTGCTGGTAGTTCTAGGGAGACACAACTTAGGAGATGTCACAGATATTGTTGAACACCTTGAAAGAGGACTTAGATCCTTCTTTGGTGCAAATTCTAGATACAGATACCCAATTAAGTGGAATCACTGAGAAATATTTACTGGATTTATTGATTAATGACGATTTACTATCCACCGATATATACACTACAACAAGCTCCAATTCACAGGAAAATAGCTCTGATAAGAAAAGAACGTTGACGGAGGAGATTGCTGAGCTTGACCAGCAGCATCGTCAAATTGACTTGAAGTTAGCTTCAATTACAAACAGTAATAGAGACTTGATCATAGATATCAGTGAAGATTTAAATTCAATCAACGACCAAATAGATAGCAAATTGATCGCAGAGATTGAGCATATGCTTAAGACATTGAAGTTAGAAGAAGTGGAGCAGGATGCTGAAAAAAGCAAAGCCAATAGCGAAAGTATGGATAAATTCAATATCACAATCAATGAGAGACTTACCAATTCGATCAAGACTAATAATTCTGTTTTATCTAATATTGATTCGATTCTCGATATATTAGAGATACCAACGTTATGCAAATTGTGTATATTACAAGGTAATTATCAAGAGTCTTTGGAAATATTTATGCTATCGCAGACCCTTGTTATTAGATTCCCTAAGTTAGTTGTGTTCCGAAAGATTCATGATCAGGTCGATAGAGAATTACAATTAATGGTTCGTGGTCTAATCAAGTTGCTTAATACCAATTTAAAACAAAATAACATCTTGAAAATATTTCAAATTTTGAATAAACCGGATTTGATAAATTATAACACCTCCTCTTCCTCAGACATGAGTAGAGAAGAAAAGATCAGTCAAAAAGATAGATTCTTGAAAATGATCTACCTTAATTCCAGATTCAATTTCATCACTAACGAGTTGGCCAACTTGAAACCAATTATTAAATTCAATAAATTAACTTATTTGAAAAGGTTCATTGAAATTTATAGAGAGTATATCTTCAATTCTTTATCCATATATCATGCAATATTCAACTCAAAGTCAGTTCTTGTTGAAGCTCAACAAAAGGAAGAGGAAGACTCAATCCTTATTAGTCAATTCATAAAAAATTTGGCAGACTTACTTTGTAAGGAACTTGATTTGTATCTCCCTGAAATAATTAACCCTTCATCCACTGACGAAGATATCAATATTGAGAAAGTGAGCCAGAAAGACGGTATAATATTACAGATATTGTACTTGTGCCGATCTTTGGCCAAGTACAACGTCGACTTTGAAAATATACTAGCTTGGAATTTATGCTACAAGGATCCCACACCTTTAGTATCGGAAAGCGACTGGAATAAAAATATTTCAAAAATTAAGAAAGTTAGACTAGATTAAAACAAAAGTTAATAGCATCAATCGAACTAAACGTACATAAAAATTAATATATAATACAACAATAAAGAAAGTCTGATTCAAAAAAAAAAATAAAAAAAAAAAAAAAAAAAAAAAAAAAAAAAAAAAAAAAAAAAAAAAAAAAAAAAAGTAAAAATAAAACTTGAAAAGAGGACTAATTATTTAAACGGTTAAGACCAAACAAAAACCCTAATTCTTGTCTACCAAGACGACTAATACCTTGTCTACCTGTTTCATCAAGCGCTGCATTGATCAACTCCTTCTTTTTCTCTTGCAATTCCATAATTCTGCTCTCCACAGTATTTTGGATCAAAATTCGATAAACGTGAACCTCTCTCTGTTGGCCAATTCTGTGAGCTCTATCCATTGCTTGATCTTCGACAAACGGATTCCAAAATGGATCCATAATTATAACATGTGATGCACACGTAAGCGTAAGACCAACATTCCCTGCTCTCAACGACAATAACAAAACTTTCTTATCGCCTTGATAGAAGTTTTTAATACAAGCATTTTTAGCATCAACATCCATTGATCCATCATACCTTAAGAATGAAATTTCCTCGTGATTCAACACCAACTTCATCAAATCAAATGTTCCAGTGAATTGTGAAAAAACAATTATCTTTTCATCTGGAGAATTTTGAAAGATCTCTTTCATCACATGGACAGCTCTTTCCATCTTGGCTGAAGTAGAAAATCCATTATTCAATGTTATTAACTCATCGATCTTTTGGGAAGTGGTAGTTTTACGTCTAGGCTGTAAAAGTTGTGTATAATATTCACTTACTTGATCATGATCGTAACCCTCATGGTGAACGAGATGGAATACGTTATAGTCAATCAACTCATTTTCTTTGACTCTTTTATTACATGTCAAACATGAGGCTGACCGTTTTCCATCAATAGCACCGTCACTATCATCATTTTCTTCAAAGAATTTATCGATACAACCAGAGCAGATAACATGACCGCAATTTGCGAATAAGACAACAGACTCATAAGATACAATGTCGTAGCAAACTGGACAAGTGAATAAAGATTCATCGTCTTTATCAGCTAGATTATTATCGGCTAGAGGTTCAGCTTCTTTCTTTTCAAGGTTTAGGCCACCGTGTAATTCAGCTTTGATCCTTTGCACAGTTTGATGATCAAACAGTTTCACTTGCGTATACATCAACTGCCATGAATTACTGGTTTTAGCTAAAGTCTGATCTTTCTCTGCGGAGTTCATTTCACCAATTTCAACGAGAAAGCTATGGATACAGGCCTGTCTTAAACGCAAAAGTAAAGTCAAAATGTTAGAGCTCATACCTCTAGCTTTTGTATTCAATAACCTCTTAGCCTTGGATTGAATACCCGATTCCAAATTGCGGTAGTATTCCATTTCTTCTTCGTCCATTACAGAAAATAGAGGATGCATATGCTTAGCGGGAAGATTGAGAATTGGCTTACCATCAATCTTTGAGTCTTTATTTCTCCTGTACAACACCACATTCAACAAGGCTCTAATCTTTTTCAAACTATTATTTTTGTCAGTATCATCATAGCAACCTGACTTAGATTTGAGAGGAACAGAAAGATCAACTTTGAATTTTGCTTCATCCATATAGGGCTTAATTCTCAAAAAGCGCAATAATGGATATAATTCATCTAGATTGTTTTGCATTGGTGTACCAGATAAGCAAAGCCTATAAGTTGAATGTAATAAAGATGATGCTTTTGAGGCAATAGAAAGCTTATTTTTGATGTTTTGAGCTTCATCCAAGATGATTCTGTAAAAATTCGAGTCGGTTGAAAAGAATGGAGATGTATAGTCTTTCCCTCCTGAACCACGATTTGGAATTGCATCTTGATGCCTGCTGACTTTGAAGTCTTCCAAAACATCTTTATAATGTTTCTTATACTCTGAGGATAGCGTTGCATAAGAGACCATTACAACATCAAATTTTTTCATGAGTTTAAAAGTTTTCATGAATTTTTTTTCATTACCATGAAATATTCCAATCTTTACTTTCACAGTAGGTTTGAGTTTAGACTCTACTTCAGCAGCCCATTGCCTTAACAAGGAAACAGGTGCTACGACTAGATTTGTTTTACAATTTTCGTCACTTGACTTATTTGCCATCATTAAAGCAATAGCCTGAATTGTCTTACCCAAACCCATATCGTCAGCCAATATACCACCTCTTTTTGCTTTTTCATTCTTCAAAAGCCAGTTTAAGCCTAGCCTTTGGTGTTTCAAAAGGTTCACACTAAGTTCTTGTGGAGTAAGAGGTAAATCTGTTTCTTCTATCTCCACCGGTTGTATACTATTCAATAATTCTAGAAGATCAACATCGTCATTAGATTGAGGCGCCGAAGGTGCTGAGTAAATGTTGTGGGAGAATCCGAGTTGACCACCGCCCATGGACGATGATCCCGGCACCGAGTACTGGAAAAAGTTATTTGGAACCTCAGGTAACGGTCCATTATTTGCTATTAGCCAGTTTCTGTTTTCTGTCAATTGTCGAATACTTTCAAAGATTGAATCACGTTCTCTTCGTTTGAAATTAAGACTTGAAGTAGCATCCTCCAAGACACGTCGACGATGCTCGAAATTGAGCGATTCCATTTTAAGGTCGGTTAAAAGTCGTCCTCTCTGAGGATCGTCAGTAGTACCAAGAGCTGACAAATTACGAGACTTGCTCTCTAGCTTTTCTTTAGATTCGTTAAGTTGGTTGATGTAAGTTTTCAAATCATCAGCAATCTTTACACAAGCCGAATTCACAACATCGTATTTACCTCTCTGGAAGTTAATTTGAGTATCAAGGGTGAAAAGTTGTCTGCTACGAACTGCAGATGAGTTATTGGGGTTATTGTTATCGCCATTGATGACCTGTATTGAGTTATGTGGATTCATTTCATTTTGTTGAGGATTGTCTGTTGAAGCATCTTCCATGACGATATCTTGATCAAATGAAGATGGCTTATTGAAAAGACCAGTTTTACTAGCTTCTTCAGGATCTAGCTCCATGATTTCATCTTCGGAATCTGACTCAACTTGAAATGGTAGACTAGAATTTTGCGGTGTTTTCTCTATTCGTGATAAATATAAAGGATCGTATGAGGGTTTTGTATGCTGGGTTTCTTTATTGTTAACCTGTTCTGAAGAATGAACTCTATCTTCACCAGAAACCTGTGCCAGATTAGCATTTGACGGCGAGGTCAATTCTTCTTCATCACTCAGTAAACTTATCACGATGGGTGACTCCAGTACTTGGTGTTCAAGCGGGCTGGTCAGTGTAGAATTATGATCTTGGTCTTTAGATTGATGATTGGTTCTGGGCGGATTTTTGATTTGGTGTTGAGGAAACCCAAACTTTGGCCGGTCAGGAAGTTGGCTTTTTAGTTTTAGCAATGGATCATGTGTATCTTTAGAAGATGCATCTTTGGTGAAAGAGCTCTGGGATTTTGGGTATAAGGAATCGAGTCTTAGCCGCTTGGAAGATATGCCATTCCCCGAAGAGCCTAATCTACCTGAAGATAGAGACCCTGTTAGCTCACTTAATCCACCAAGACGTCTTGAGCTTCCATTACTGCTGGGTTTGGGCCTATTTCTGCTTTCCACCGGTTTGGTACTAGGCTCCGATCCTATGTTCCCTTCACTATCACTATCGTCCGATAAGTAAATAACCCCATCTATATCTGTCATTATCACTCGAACCGTTCTATAAAATATTGTTCTATGTCTATTAGAAGGAAAACTTAAAATAAAGAAGGACACTGGAAGAATCAAATGATAGTATCAGATACTCTATATTTTCTTTTATTTTAGTTTGATATGTTTTTTTTTCTGATTACTTTTAATTCGGTTTTGCGCTCTTGGACCCAAGCTCAATGGACCAAGCTCAATGGACCAA